CTCCCCTACTCCAAGAAAGGAAAAATGGGCACATGAAAGAAAAATGACTTCATGCGGTCTATCATGAATCCAAACAAGTATTCATGTGCTATCTCAAAACTTCAAAGAAATTTTTATAATGACACCAATCAGAAATCTGAGTATCCTATTGTGAGTTAGTCTGACTCTATTACCACTGTTTTTGTTTTAGACACGCAGAAGCAGGTACACAATACGACTCGTGTTTATTTCAACAGAAGGTAAAAACGCCTAAACAACAAAATTATAACCAAAATAAACAAATAAACCAGTGACAATTCTGCTTCTATTCGTATCAAATTCATTAAAATCAAACCAGAATTGACCCCACAATATTTTTTGAAAAACCATAGTTTTGAAAATGAAATTCAGTGTAGCGTAAAATTGTAGGTAACGAATAATCATATTGCATGTGAATTTGTGTGTTGAACAAGAAAGACGTTGGCATGTCCGATTTTATGCAATTGATGTTTTATATTTTATTATCTATGTTAAAAGTATAAAAGATACTAAGGGTAATCGACCACTAGTACAACATTTATAAGCCGAAGAAAAAGCCAACAGCAAAAAAAAAAACCCATCAGATTCCGTCCACAAAACATTACACACTCAAAAACTAAGAATTGAGCACTATTACTTTTATCTCAGAATAAGTAAAATCTATGTCATCCAAATCTCAGTTTTCAAGGTGCAGAAAATAAACAGGTGTTTTCTATTCCGTCCGCAATTTTTGGGGAAAGTAAAATCTAAATTTAGAACCATGGTTGAAACTGAAACTACACATGTATGATAAAAATAGAACGTGTTATTTTTTCTATATCAAATTCCAATTTCGAAGGGATAGCGAAATTTGTTTTCTTTTGTTGTGGTTTTGTTTATCATTCAGCAGTAGTATAAGGTAGGGGAAGAAGGGGGAGGGGGTGAAGAAAATAGGGTCTATAATGTCGGGGCTTTTTATAACCGACCATACGGTATGGATTTTTCTCATTGTTGAAGGCCGTATGGTTGCCTATAATAATTACATCCACATGATTTAAGGTAGCTGGGGTGTCTAAATATTGGACGATAGATTTTTCTTCAACTTCTGTAAAAGACTTCGGGGTCAATGTAATTTCAAATTTCAATACAAAAACTGGGGATCACGGACCTTGTTTTTTGTAATAACACATTGAAATTAACGAAATTTGGGTTATTTTATATTGTTAATATAGAGGAAACTTAAGTTTTCCTTATTGCGGAAACATTAAACGATAGAATTGGCTAAAATTTGATGAGAGAATTGCTTTTCATTAATAACTCCGAAATATCAAATAAAAATAGGGGCTCACGGGCCTTATTTTCTTGAAAAAATCCCCAAAAATTTTAAATATACTTTACGACACTTAATGTTTTGATAGTTCAATCTTTAAATTTCAAGTTTAAGGTATTTTGTTGTATATTAAATGATACTTGGTAAAATATTTTTAAAACAAAAAAGTATTTTTGCAACATGATCAGAACGGACGCTCAGAAAAAGACACCCGGTCTACCATAAACTGTGGCAGATAGTTGTCTAATTTGCAATCATACCACATCTCCTTATTTTCATATTATATTAAGAAACTGCAATTCATTTGCATTATATACAGGAACAATTTGTATGGCACTACACTAGGTAGACTCGTATAGCATCGCCCTTGGTACATTCTTATAGCATTACACCAGTACATGTATAGTATTACACCAGTACATTTATAATATAACACCAGTACATTTATAGCATATCACCATGCACAAAGCTTTAGCATTACACTATACACAATGCTATAGCATTATACACAATATACACAATGTTAAGGCTAACACTGGGAATGATCTGTGCTACGGGAAGTTATATCAAAAACTCCGATCTGTTTTACTTTGCTAAAATTCATATGCGTGTTCTTCTTTTGACCTTATTACAGCCATAAAAATTCTAAAGATAATATGCAGATGCAGTTTTCTTATTTTTTGGGAGTCATGCATGTGGATATTTAACAAATAATGGTACAAGAAATTATTTCCTTTTTTACTTAAAATCTCCAGCAAACATTATATCATGCTTTGTCGTGTAGTTAAAGAAAAGGGAAAGCGATTGAGACAGGAAATTTTAAAAATAAAATTGCAGAGTTGTGTCACGTGCACGTGTGTGAACCTGACAAATAAAATATGTTTTGTGCGCAATACCTCGAATAGCGCCGGTAATGGTGAGGATGAAAAGAAGCAGCAAATTATATTCACTTTTTTAAAAAACAAACATGCAGAAATAAGATTTTAAAAAGACGTGTATACGCGATAATTATAACCGATTATTTAAATACATATAGAATCATTCTGTCAACGCTGTGTTAACCGGGACAATTTCGAACTTGATATTTGATTCATAAATATTAGAACAATACAATATAAAAATAAGAAGATGTGGTATGATTGCCAATGGGACAACTCTCCACAAGAGTCCAAATGACACAGAAATTAACAACTATAGGTCACCGTACGGCCTTCAACAATGATCAAAGCCCATAGTCAGCTATAAATACAAGCATTTCAAAAAAAGATGTGGAACCCTGTCAAATTAAGAAAAGATTGAGTTAAAGTCTATACAGTAACTTTCTTTCACTTGCAGTATATTTATTTGCCAATTTGCTTTTTTTTTTTTGGCAGCAGAAATATCCTTAAAAAATACTCAGTTTATTTCCTTATCAATTGATTACGCTTGAGCATTTGCAATAATTAGGAAAATGGGTTATAAATCATTCGTAAATATAAATCAACATGTAGACATCTTATACGTTCAGGAATTTCACATCCAATATTTTATGGTAATATTCTTTACAAAGCACAAAAATGTCGGCATTCACCTCAAAAGCTAACCAAACCTTTAAACAGACTTATTCGGAAAGGATATAGTTACGATACTGTTGTCAGGTCATTAAGGATTGCATATTTTGGTATTAATATTGATTCACTCATAGGGTCTCTGCATCGGAAATAAACACTATTATTCTAAAACCAGTTGTTGGCATGATACGGGTTATGTTCTTCTCATATATTTTATGATTGTATGATACTAAACCCCTAACGGGAGGGATTGTTCTTGATTTTCATAAGATGAAGACATAATCTATCAATCAGTTTAACTGAGCTCTGGAGCTGGCATGTCAGTAACTGCTAGTAGTCCTTTGTTAATTTATGTATCATTGTCTTTTTGTTTATTTTCTTTTGTTACCTATTCTGACATCGGACTCGGACTTCTTTTAAACTGAGTTTTACTGTGCGTATTGCTATGTGTTTCTTTATTCTACATTGTTAGAGGTATAGGGGGAGGGTTGAGATCTCACAAAACATGTTTAACCCCGCCGTATGTTTGCGCCTGTCCCAAGTCAGGAGCCTCTGGCCTTTGTTAGTCTTGTATGTTTTTTTTAATTTTAGTTCATTTATATGTTTTGGAGTTTAGTGTGACGTCCATTTTCACTGAACTAGTACACAATTTTATTTAGGGGCCAGCTGAGGACCACCTCCGGGTGCGGGATTTTCTCGCTGCGTTGAAGACCCATTGGTGGCCTTCGGCTGTTGTCTGCTCTTTGGTCGGGTTGTTGTCTCTTTGACATATTCCCCATTTCCATTCTCAATTTTATACACACTCACGATTTTGTTACGACACTACATACGGTATAATAGCGTTATAGAGTAGAAATTGTGATGACGTTACAGTAGACATCAATAACGTCGCCGAATGTTTTTATTTTTTCCGCTAAAAATCAAACTTCCACAGGATATAGCTTGAAAACTAGCACGGTTGCTAAGGACTTTCTTTGCACCAATGGGTTCGTTGTTCATTTTTGAATCGCATATCGATTTTTAAAAAAATTCTGTGGACCAACGAATTAGAAAATCTTGATAAAGCAAAAATATCAGCCGATTTTTATGATTTTCCCTATATATCCTTTGTATTTTTGGCGTATCAAGCTGTTAATTTCAACAGCTTGTATCTGAAAAACGAAAACGGTTACCCCCTTTTTTTATTTTATTGTCTGATGTATTTTTACAAGCAGAATCCACATGTAAAATTTTAAAAAATTCTGTGGAGTAGTTAATTACGTACACTTCGCCTTAAGGAACATTAAGTTAAATTTAGAAGTATTAGGCCCAGTAGTTTCAGAGGAGATTTTAAAATGTAAGCAAACATGATGAACAAATTGTGTAAAATTGTCTTTAAAGGGGAATAACTCCTTAAGGAGTCAATTGACAATTTTGTTCATATAAAAACTTTTTTGTAGATTTTACTTGCTGAACATTGCTGTTTACAGTTTACCTCTATCTTTAATAATATTCAAGATAATAACCCAAAACTGCCAAATTTCCTTAAAATTACCAATTTAGTGGCAGAAACCCAACAATGGGTTGTTCAGTTTGTCTGAAAATTTCATGGCTGATAGATCTTGACCTATTGAACAATTTAACCCTATGTCAGATTTGCTCTAAATGCTTTAGTTTTTGAGATATAAGCCAAAAACTGCACTTGACCCCTATGTTCTTTTTTTGTAGCCATGGCGGCCATGGTTGTTGATGGATCAAAACTTCGGATACAATTTATAAACAAGATACCCTAAGGAACATTCAGTTAAAGTTTATAGGTATTTGGCCCAGTAGTTTCAGAGGAGAAGATTCTTGAAATAGTTTACGTCGACAACGACAGACGACAACAAAAGACGACGACGACGACAAAAAAGTGATGGCACAAGCTCACATGGGGCCCTTCAGGCCAGGTGAGCTAAAACTGAAGAAAGCTTTTCTTATAAGCAGCTGAACCACACAAAATATACTGTGGACTCATTATTGGTCACGAGGTTCTAATTTCTGTTCAAGTCTTAGACATAGGTGAACCACAATTAAAATGTTCATCAACAATACCAATTTCCTAAGTTTCAATGCAGAATGCTTTTGATCCATAAAATTAAGTATAAAGAAAATATACTATTTTACTATAAACATTGGTGTCAATTAAATTAAAATAATATTGCACAATCTTTTTTTCAGTAGAGCTGATTTCTTCTCAGATATCAGACTGCAGCAACCAGTCATTCTTTTTTTTTTCTCTCTCATAAACATGACATAAAAGATAAATATCCTTAGTGATTATAGATAGTCTTTAGTTAACTTTTTTTAATGCCAGACAGATAACTATATGGTAATAATTAATTGTTCGTTGATTACAATAGTCATCTGAATTTCATAAACTGTTAGCGGTAACATAAATGTCTTTTCTTGTCTGTATCAGTCATTCAGTCCGGCATCCAAACCTACATTAAACTAGACAGTGCTGAATAATTGACAAAACAGCATTTTGTGAACTAAATCTACCACCAACATCTGTGTATCCATGAAGCATTGTCTATAAATTCATAACTATAGAGGTTTAAAAAAGCTGTTACTCCCAGTGAGTAGTCTCCTCTTCTTTGTGGCTCCCTCTGTGGATGAGCTTATTTCACTATTATTGTTTGTTCGAGATTTCCTTTTAGGAATCATTGGCTCAATAAATTCATTCGCACTGCTATTTTGTGACAAAATATTTTCTTTCTCCTCTAAATTGTAGGTACTGTTTAGAGTTGTTGAAATCTACAGAAGAAAATAAAAAATACTCCATTTGTATTTAGTGTAAGTTCATCTTATAATAGTGTTTTTTTTTTCTCTTTTGAAAGTTTCACATTTCTGTCATCCAAGTGCCTTTTATGGCTTACTTCATGATATGGATCCTTGCTTATTATAAACGACTGTAGGTTACCCTGTAATTGTTCATTTTTTTGGTCTTTGGACATTATGGATAGCTCTACAACTTTTTAAATTCTTATACATCCTTGGCTTTCAAATATTCGGCTTTTAGCGTTCCTGGAGAAGGTAAATTCAGAAAAGCTCTTCAGACATAGGAAATTTACAACGTGTTGTTTTCATTTTTTTTCTCATTGGCAATCATACCACTTTCTCTTTTTTTTTACAATATGAACACAGACAAAGGAGTAGATCCGGTAAGGGCAGATTTTGGCCTCAAAATTCAGGTTCATCTGATGAAAGATTTTGGACACTTTTTAAACACTTAAGTGTCTACTTCGGTCGATTCAATTAGTTTATGTGAAAGATTTGAACTGATTTAGTCATTAAAGATGCTCAAATTCAAGCTTAAATATGAAAAATTTATCAAATATGCCATAATATGTCACTTTTCAGATGGTTTTTGTGAAAAATAAAAGTGGCCGCATCCGTGTTCATTCTCAACCTTTATATATGTTATGTATTATCATCAAATACAACTTACATTTAAATAATAAGAATGAACACAAATGCGGCCATTTCCATTTCAGACGGAAACTGTCTAAAAATTAACCAAAATGCTAAAATTTCGAAGATTTCAGTAATTTAGCATGACTTAATGATGCTAGTACCTGATACATGCGCATTGTATTGTCAAAAACAGCCCATATTTATGTAACAGAAGTATTCTTCTTTCCAATAAATAGCTAAAAATTTACATTTTAACAATTTTGTAAAACTGCTATATTTTTGGGCCAAAAAGGGCCTACTCCTTTCGACTGGGCCTACTCCTTTCTAAATTGAATCTTGGTTGTTGATCGTCTGGATTAGTTGTTGATCCTGGCTGTTCTATGTTATGATATTACCCCCTTGTACTTACACTATCATCTTCTGGATTGGTTGTTGATCCTGGCTGTTCTATGTTATGATATTACCCCCTAGTACTTACACTATCATCTTCTGGATTGGTTGTTGATCCTGGCTGTTCTATGTTATGATATTACCCCCTTGTACTTACACTATCATCGTCTGGATTGGTTGTTGATCCTGGCTGTTCTATGTTCCTACACTGACTGGAACATTTACAATGGTCAGAGCACACAATGCCTTGTTTTCGACAGCCACAGATTTTCTTCAGGCAGTTTCCTTTACAGTTACATTTTGTTATAGAATTTCTTGATGGATCTTTTTTTGGCTACAAGAAAAAAAAAAAATACTGAATATTTATAGATTACGATTAAGAGTGCATTTATTTTTTTTTTGGTAGAAACCAATTTTACTGGATGAAGGAAAAATTAGGTTTTCAGGATATTTAGATTTCATTGTTTTGTCAAACTCTGCATACAAGGCTATAGAAAATTTGTACATTATTGAACATTTATATATGAATCCACTGTATATCAAATTGCATACATTTTTGTTTTTTTTCTTTACGGCTGATTTTTAGCAATTATTTAAGAAGTCAATTGGAATAAGGGCCTTATTTATCATTACTTCATGTAAAGATATACCTTATGTCCCTTTAGTTGTCCTCTAGTGTGGAAGGTCGTGGGTTAGAATTGTATTTTCCCTGATTGGAAATAATTTTATAAATAATCTTCTTTTCAAAATTTTTAGACTAAGTCTTTAATTATACTGTAAATTCAGAAATTATTGCGATGTTTTTATTATTGCGAATTATGCGACAGGTTTAAAATGGCAATAATTTAAACTCGCATTTTGAAATTTTTTATATGAATTAACAAGGATTTTTCTCAATATCGCAAAAATTTAAATCACATTTTAGTCTAAAATGACAAAATCACAATAATAAATGCATGCAATAATTTGTGAATTTACAGTACACAGTATATATTTTAAATCTTAATCTCCTAATCCTAACCTTGAATTCTAAAAATATATTTACTGATTTCATTTTAATATGAGTATGCAGGTCAGCATTTTCACTTAAGCTTTAACCTGTACAACCATACATGAAGACAGATATAGAAAATCAATAAGAATTACCTTACCTGAACTATCTTTGAACTTTGCTGAAAAGAAAAAAAAATCAGAGTTAGAATTTTACACAATTTTGCTGTTTTCCAAAAGAAAATGTCTCTGCCTACATTAGAATTATTAAATAGTGATAAATACTTATTCACTGGAAAGGGAGAGACACAATCCTAGTTTCCAAACAGATCAGTCAAACATTAAATATTTAGGTATCTTTTGCCCCTCCTTTAATTTTGTCGAAGTACTGTTAGACTGACAATATATGTAAATAGACTATTCAAGCTGGGTGGCAAATATCCATTAAATTTTCAATTACCTACATCTAACAATCAAATGCTTGAGAGTACTGAAGGGTAAAAATTTATTTCATTTTGCAATGGGAACATTTAATTGTATTACTGGTAAACTGAATGTAACACATTCAAATTGTGTAGATCTTCCTTTGTTCATAATTGTAGTTTTTTTAAACAAATAGATTCACACATCATGCACAGCTAATGTTATTTTTCAACAAAAAGTTTTCTGGACAAGTATGTTTATACACATTATTTGCATTTGTGACTTAAATATCTCAGTACAAATACTTTTATCAAATTGCTTAACATAGGCTAGATAGGATCTAAAAAATGTTAGACTCATTTCACTATATCGTTTAAGCCCTCAAAGGTATAGATTATGCCTGGAAGATATTGAGCTATCAAGCCAGTGAAATAAGGATTCCCCCTCCCCCACTCAAATTCTAGCAATCAGAAACCAATCAATTGATCTTCCCTGCGGTCTTGGACTTACACAACCACTAAGACACCCCCCCCCCCCATGTTTTTAAACTTACTTTTCGTTTATATTTTGGTGTCCTCCACCATTCCTCATCACTGTTAACATCCTCCTCCTCCTCTTCCACGCCATCCTCCTCATCACTAATAGCAGCAAAGTATTCACCCTCACTCATAAACGACTCATCTTTTTCCACAGTTTTCCTCTTGGCCTGTAAAGTCAATAATATTAATTGTCATTTATAGCAGCCCAATTTTATTTTAGATTTAATCATAAATGTGTACAATTTGAACTCGCTTCTATTTGTGCAGACCAAATTTCAAGGATTGAGGAAAAATAGAATTTTTCATGGATATTTGATTCGTAATTTTGCTATACCAACAAAATCCTTGAAAACTGGTATCCCATGAATAAGATTGAAGACTTAGAGCAAGACCAGTCAGCTTGGGAGATCAGGTAAGATGACATGTCTTCAAGTAGGACTGTCACCTTGTTTTATAAGCTAGTTCAAATTTAAACTTGGTGTCGGGATGGTCTAAGTAGTTCATCTACTGTATCACTAGCCTGTAAACACTGAAGTTGTAAGTTCAAACCCAGCATTTATTTCCAATCTTAATTGAAAATTGAAAATTGTTAATCAATAGCGCTGTGTTGTGATTGGATACCGCTGCGGTCTGTCGCAATACCACTGCGCTGACAAGCTATAGCGCTGAATACTGCAGCGCTAAATCAGCCTGGGGAGAACACTGGAACATGATTGTATATAAAAACTATATCAGTCAAAATAATAACAATTGTTTTCATCATATGTTTTCTTAGTGAAATTATTTTTGTATGTTTATAAAATAGATCTGTTTTAATTATTAGAACAAAGTATAAGTATTAAAAATAGATGAAGAAAATCATAAGTTTTACAACAGTTCAAAGTTACACTTTTTGTTAATCATTTAACTAGACATTGATTTGTTTTTAATTTTCCTATTTAAAAAAAACAGAAGGTACTTATTATCCCTGATATTTGTAACAATAAATAGGACTTAGTTTCAATCAATATACATTGTACTTATGAAAATTGATTGTGGATTTAATAAGTAGTGCTATGTAATGCAATGTAATACCAAAATTGAGGCATTACACATTATGTGCTTGCATTACTTGGGAAAATGTAATGAATTACAGGGCATTAGAATTACAAATTAGCATAACCCCATGCCTGGATGCAACCTCATGATTATATTTACCTTAGCTTTGGATTTGGGTGTGAGGAATGGTGACGCAACCTCATGATTATATTTACCTTAGCTTTGGATTTAGGTGTAAGGAATGGTGATGCCACCTCATGATTATATTTACCTTAGCTTTGGATTTAGGTGTAAGGAATGGTGATGCCACCTCATGATTATATTTACCTTAGCTTTGGATTTAGGTGTAAGGAATGCTGAAGCCCCTTAATGGTTAAATTTACCTAAGCTTTTGGTTTAGGTGTAAGGAATGGTGATGCTGCCTCATGATTATATTAACCTAAGCTTTGGGCTTAGGTGTAAGGAATGGTGAAGCCCCCTCATGGTTATATTTACCTAAGCTTTTGGTTTAGGTGTAAGGAAGGGGGATGCCACCTCATGATTATATTTACCTTAGCTTTGGATTTAGGTATAAGGAATGGTGATGCCGCCTCATGATTATATTTACCTTAGCTTTGGATTTAGGTGTAAGTAATGGTGATGCCACCTCATGATTATATTTACCTTAGCTTTGGATTTAGGTGTAAGGAATGGTGATGCTAACTAATGGTTTTATTTACCTAAGCTTTTGGTTTAGGTTTAAGGAATGGTGATGCCACCTCATGGTTATATTTACCTTAGCTTTGGATTTAGGTGTAAGGAATGGTGATGCCACCTCATGATTATATTTACCTTAGCTTTGGATTTAGGTATAAGGAATGGTGATGCCGCCTCATGATTATATTTACCTAAGCTTTAGGTTTAGGTGTAAGGAATGGTGATGCCACCTCATGGTTATATTTACCTTAGCTTTAGGTTTTGGCGTAAGGAATGGTGAAGCCACCTCATGGTCAGCATCTATACTTGGCATCAAAGCAAAACTTTTCCCTTGATACATGGCCTTGGTCAGATGCTGCTTCAGTGATTCACATTCGTCATTTTTTTTCTGAACCTCCTCGTGTAGTTTACTCAGTTTATCAATCTCTTCTTGCTGTAATATATCAAAGGGATTATTTCATTATTTCACAATCCACTATCTCTGTTTAATAACATACAAAATTACATGAACAAGAATGCTCTAATTGTTGAGCTAAGCATACCCCCACTTGTAACTTAAGGATGTACTTCAGTGATATTAAAAAAGTTTAGAATTTAAAATTGATACCATAAGCCGGAAGAGCATAAGTTAAGGAACAAAAAAAAGCCAAAAATATTGATAGTTTATGAGACAGCAACCTGACACATCATTCAGATGTTCATATAAAGAAATTAGTCTGCCATATGCTCTGCTCACACTTTCCATGTTCAGTCAACTGTTAAATCTAGGTCAAAATCTAATTGCTACAAGAATTTTTTATAAAGTCCACATAATAATGAACATGTGTACAAAGTTTCATGTTGATGTGACCACATCTTCATGGTTAAATTCTTTGAACTGAGCTTTAACCTGATGAAGGACAGACGGACAGACTGAGAGAACAAAAACAAAATCTATACCTGGAATTTGATTCTCTGTCTAACGTCTTCATCTAATGTCACACTACTATCTACAGCCTTCATCTGTCTCAACAGAAACAAAACCTGAAAACAAAACGAAAAACAGAATTTCTTCATTAAATCAGCACCAGAACCTTTTTTGTAACATTAAGGTAGCACTACAATCTAATGAAGATTTTTTAGTGAAATTTTTTTTATCACATTATTTTTAAGTATTTATCCATCTGAACATTTTGTAAAAGTCTTTATGATGTCACATCAGGGAGTAAATTAATAATTAAATTATGTAAATAAAAGCACATGGTAAATACTGTATATATAAAGAGCATATGGGAGGAGCTAACCATTCAATCATCTGTTGATAGCAAGTTTCCAGCTGTTAATCTCTGACCACAAGAAAAATAATGTGGTCTTATCTTATTATGTTGCAATCGAACTTAATTTACATAATAATTGAGGTAAACAAACAAAAAAATAAAAGAGAAAAAAATGTAGGGAGAATAAAATCTAAAGTGAAGACATGTATGTCATATATAGATAGATATAAATGTGTAAAAGCAGCTTAAACAAAATTTTGAATGCCTCTGACAATTTAAAATTCTTACTAAGGCAAAATAATATGTATCTGAATCTGACACCAGCAACAATCCTTATTCTAGACAAATTACCTTGATCAAAGTTTTTTTAACTTGTACTATTAGAAGTATCAGTTCTATTTATGAAGAGGACAGTAGGTAGTATGAAAGTATTTTTTTTTTTTGGCATGGATTTATTAAAGTTTCTAGATAATTTCACAGAACCATGTATTTCTTTTTAAATATGAATAATAAATATTATTTCAAAGTGAGAATTATGTTAAAAATTTACTATATGCAACTGATCACTATTAATATTATCTTATCTTATACAGTCTGGACAGGGGAGGAGCTTTGGCCATATTTAATTACTACATTACAGATGTTGGTCAAATCTGTGATGGCAAACTCCCGCCATATGCTAAATTAGTGTTGATGAGGGATGGACAGTGCACAAATAATGCAAAATTTACAGTTCAAGTGTACAAAAGACAGAGGGATGTTTATATTTATGTTGCATTTATAGGGGTTCAAAGGGAGATATTCAGTTTTATGGTGATTTTTCAAAACATTTTTTTCATGGGAATTGTCATAAAAAAATAGAAATAGAATCTCTATGGGTGCCCCCTTTGGTTTGGCTTTGATATATATGATTAAAGGGAGTATTTTCTACAAAACCATGTCCCAGTTTTTGGATAATTTGTTTCTGAATGAATTTATAGGTCTTCAAAGATGAAAGGTGAATTGAGGTTTGGCACCCAGCAGTTGAATCAATATATCTTCTAACTGGAGGCATATATCAAAAATCTGAGACACGGTTTTGTTCATGGTCAATCAAAGGGATGAAAACCAAATTTTTACCACCAATTGAAATGAATGTGCTATTTTCATCCAAGTTGGGAGAGCACTTTTTTGGCAGTTAATGAGCTTTATTTTTTAATTGATCATACCAAAAAACAAAATTGTCCTTACATTAAGAAAGTATATTATGTCAGCTTTAAAATGAGTTAAAGATTGTAAAAATCCATTAAGTAGTTTTTAAGAAATTAATCTTTAAAGACTGTTGGTTGGAGTCAGAAAAGTCTGACTGTATTGCTATCTTAAAGAAGTTGGTACACTTATAATTTTGGCCAAAAAATCTGAAATTTTCACTGCCAAAATGTGGTGAAAATTTGAAAAAAGCATATGCTAAAATGTCCAATAGTTTTGCAGCTGAAAAAGATTTACATCAATTACGTCATAAGTGACGTATTTGAGACATAATAATGTAGGTGAATTTCGTAAAATCCTAATTTTTGGCAGAATTCTGCAAAATTTATAACAGTTTTCCGAATAATTTAACAAGGCCACCCTTAGCCAACTAAAATGTTTTCTGAAATATTCTTTATATACCATATTCTTTACTTTTCACAAATTTCAATGCGCGAGGGGGAGGGCCACATATAAAATCATGAAAAGAGGTGGAAAAGTTGAAAAATTCTAGGAAAATGGATGAAAATGAAATATTTACCTTTTTTTATGATTATACCTTTATAGATATGAAGCAGATGTACAATTTTTCTTATCATACTTTCAAATATCATACATTTAGCAATACATACACATTAGATTTACATTGATAATTAAAGTTAAAAATAATCACCTTTACAAGGCTGTTTATTGGGGTTCATGGCTCTACTCCTTTTCGCATGTATATATGAAAATCAGTTAATATAGATAGAAAAAATTGTGTGTGTTGGGGGTAATTTAATTGTTGGAGGGTGTCATTTTCTGTACGATACAACCTTTACAATTCTCAGCTCTCACAACATGCACAAATATGTCAGATTCTAATGACTTAAAATCAAACGTATTACCTTATCTTCATGTTGTTTCTGTATCCTGGTTACATTGTCTTCATGTTTGTGTTTTAAATTCTCTATTTCTTTCTGAAGTTCTTCCATTTCACCATGTCTGTCTATGTGATGCAGTTTAGAATCTTGTAATTCACCCTGGGCTTTACTACTATCTGCCCTAGATGATACTGCCTGTTAAAATAGAAAATCACTTGGAATAAATATAGACAATGGTTAACTAGCTATATATTGGGTTGTAATGTAAAATTCAATATACTCCACATAAATTTAGGACTTAATCTAATTAAAAGTGGACACCGTGAAATGTGTCGTCTGCTTTATTTATGATTGAATACAAATATAGCACTTCTTCTCCCCCTTCTGTGTTAATAAGTTGTCTTGACAATCATACGAATCAACTTATTTTTTTTAAGGATAGTTATATAATTGATTGAACAATAGTTGGTCTTCACTGCCACTTTCAGGGACATGTCGCTATATCATCGCGGCCTGTTTTATTGATGAAAAACCCAGAGTACCAAAAGAGAGAACCAAGACCTTTGGCAGGAACTGGCAATACCGGTCAATTAAGATCGGATTTAAGGATGTACTTAGGTGAGATTTAGGAATTTGTGACAGATGTTCGGACTCCTTGGTCTTTTCCCTACAGTACAAGGTGAAAAATTTTGCCCCATAACACCCATTTTTCTTTTCAAATTCTAGATTTCTTTTCTTTCAATTTGAGACCCAAATAATATCAATGCAAACCTAAGGTAAAAGTCTGAGTCAGCCTTTTCCTGCCATTTAAAAAAAACCGAACATCTTGAAAAGGAACTCCATAACCTATCAATATTTTTAGCTTATTTTGTTCCTTAACTAATAGTCTTCAGACTTATAGTATCAATTTTAAATTCTAGATTTTTTAATTTCACCTAAGTACATCCTTAAATACACCTTGTTGAAACAGGGTTCAACCTCACAACTTCAATGTTGACATGGTAGTTATCACTGTAGACAGACAAATTAAACCCTTCAGCAACTGAGGAAGGTTATATCATTGATTATTACATTGGTTGCAATGAATTACATTGATTTCCCAGTGAAATAAAAACCGATAATTTCACATGTCAAATGAACGTGGTTATTTCACTCCTCTGACATATAAAAATAGGCTTTGTCAAGACGTTGTCGATTACATCAGATCAAAACAAATTGTGAATGCGTAGAAAAAGATATAGTTCCTCACATTTTCTACTTTAATTTCATAAAAAAAAGCCATTTGCCAATTAATAAAAAGAATAACTAATCAAAGAATTCAAATATCGAAAAATATTCAACTCGTGACTGAACAACATTGATAATTAACTCATGCGGTCACTCGTTGAATATTTTTTACTATTTGAATACTTCGATTAGTTATTCTATAAATAATTACGAATTCACAAAATGTGCTTCGATAAATAAAATAACAAAAAAAGGCATTTAATTGTTAATTGTTAATTCTTACCTGTTCAAGTAACCACTTCAATGCACACTTTGCCTATACCATTGTGTGTAAACTCTCCCCTATAGATCTTACCTGTTCTAGTAACCATTTCAATGCACACTTTGCCTCTACCATCGTGTGTAAACTCTCCCCTATAGATCTTACCTGTTCTAGTAACCATTTCAATGCACACTTTGCCTCTACCATCTTGTGTAAACTCTCCCCTATAGATCTTACCTGTTCTAGTAACCATTTCAAAGCTCACTTTGCTTCTACCATCGTGTGTAAACTCTCCCCTATAGATCTTACCTGTTCTAGTAACCATTTCAATGCACACTTTGCATCGTGTGTAAACTCTCCCCTATAGATCTTACCTGTTCTAGTAACCATTTCAATGCACACTTTGCCTCTACCATCGTGTGTAAACTCTCCCATATAGATTTCCCTTTACATTCTGTAAGTAGGACAGTGAAAATATATGATTTTTTTTATATTTGTTATGCAAGCTCTCTTGAAACATTAATTTTATAGCTTACTGGAAAGATGATCAGTTTCCATAAATTTTCATTATCTTATAAGACTTTACAGACCAGGTTTTGGGGACAATAAAGCATTGAAAAAAAAACTGGGCTCTCTATAGCCTCAACTCTCTTGTTGCATCCCCTTTCTTCTCATGTCGTGCAAGAGGGTGTTTTGGACTTGAGAAAAAAGTCAATTCTCCCTGATGTCCTTACAAACTAAGTTTTGAAAAAAAAATCAATAAAATAACATTTTGTTGGTATCAAATTACATCTATATCCATATTTCATAATATCTTTACATGCTTAATAATATAAAACTATTTTAACAAGTGATATATTTTTCGAATATGAATAATAAAAATGTTCATTTAAAGAATGATATATTGACCATAAACACAATTTGAGAATTGTTTTCATTGTAATCAGAATGTAATCAAAAAGTAATCAGGATTACAAGGTATATTGAAAAGTATTTGATTAAATCAAATAACAAGTAATACTTTTGGCTGATTAATGATTACTTGAAAAATTGTAACTGAATACTACTGATCACCATTACAATAACCCAAAACCTGTTAAGCTATAATAAACATGTTTAACCACACCACACATTTTGTCATGCTGAGTAAATCATAGCTATTACTCTTTCAGTTTTGCAATTACAGGAAACGCTGCATACAAATAATGCTTTCAAAATCTGAAATGAAAGTTATTATTTCTGTGAAACCTATCTCGTCACAATTTTCGCAATAATAAAAACAACACAAATATTTAAAATTAACATTACACAGCATCCTCCAATTTTATACTACTCCCATAGCCATAGACCTTTTGACCGCTTATAATTCTTACCTTGATCAGCATCAACAACCTTTTGTTGGAGGTCAGTTATCTGAGCATTCCTAAAAATATAGAATGATGGACAAATAGAAAATTCATTTCAAAACCTTCATAGTAACTATAAAACCATAGAAAATTCTGAAAAAAAAAAATTTATGGAATAATAAGTTCATATAATAATAAGATAAGATTTATCAGAATTACTAATTTGACAATTCAAATATTGAAAAATATTCAACAAGTGACCAAATAACACATTAATTATCAAATGTATGTAGCACATGAATGAATCAGTACTGATGTTCGGTCACAAGATGAACATATCTTATTATCTTACCTCCTATACATAACTAGGAATATGATTTGTTAAAACCATCTTGTGGAGACCGTGTATATTTCATATTAGGTTAGTAGGCAGGGCTTATTTCAATACATGGTTATTAGTGGTGTTACATCCATTTATAAAAACAACTAATTGAGGAAAAATCTGAAAGGTTTCACCGACGAAAAAAATGATGATGAACGATTGAAATAAATTCATAAAACACACTTAAAGCTAAGAAGTTGTTATTGTTGGCACTTGTTTTTGTAGAGACAAATGGAAGTAGGTTCTTAACACTAAGTATTGAAGACTTAATCACTTTGATAGGCCACTTGTCTAAATACCACAAGTTAAGATAATCGGTAAGATAAATTCGTTACACAGTGTGCTAGTGACCTAATACGATATATATGGGGTCAGTAAATTTGCTCTCACCCCATATGGAATTTACTGACCCCATATATATCATATAAGGTCACTAGCAAACTGTGTAACTTATAATATTTGAAATGTTGGATTAGTTATTCTTTTTATTACATTGACTTTGAATGTTATACAAAGTAGAAAATGCGTTTTTTTTTTCTAACTGCAATCCAATGTATTAATTCTCATTATTCATAAAAAAAAATCTATGATTACAAGTATTAAGCTAAGTTTATTGATAGAATTTTGATCAATTAAAACTTAGCTATAAGTATTGTCATGATATCCTTGATAGAGAATTGCTACTTGCAGGAAAGCTATTGAAACAGGGGTTCCTTTTTCTTAAGTTGAAGTTGTCCCTTCAAAATATTTAGACACCATCATGATTTGGTTGACCCTTATGGAATGTCTGTGTCACAGCTGACCGTATGTATGTTCCAATTTTCGTAGCCACAAACCTGTCCTCTTTTTCTTGATTATGTCATCTTCTTACATGACATAACATCAGATTTTTACTTACCATGAGCAATCCAATTGATGCCACTAGTGAAATAGGATCTGCTTTAATACCCTGAGACCACCCTTGTTTTTTGGAAGATCAGTGTTGCTGAGTTTTTAGTTTTAGGTGATTTGGTTTGTCAGTTCTTAATCAAATTATGGTTTTTGATTGTCTGCCTCCTTTTAAATAAAGACTGCTGCCAGCCAATATAATAACATTGTTATCTTCCTTCTAATGTCAAATTGTCCTTTTTTTTCTACAAAGTTTGTTTTAAAATAACAGCTGTAAATAGGAAACCAACACAACAATTTTGTTGTTCAATTTATTTTAAGGTATTGTGAAATGTTACTAAATTGTGACTTTTTAAAAGTTCTAACATAAAATTCTTGGAAATTAGAAACCAATGAAAAATAGCGATTTCTAGTCATGTTTACCTCTCATCAATCTGTTGTTGTACTTCCTCTATCTGTTTCTTTACATGTTCAACCTCAAAACTTGACGAGTCTAACTTCCCGTCTTTTATCCAGGCCAACTTCTGTAATGCAGTATATATAGTTGTTAAGGGTCGGATATAAAAAAAATAATTTTGTACAACGAAATTTTCCTGCTCCTATTGAATACTTCACTCTTCTTTCATTTACTGTGGTTTCTTTATTTTTCATTGGATACAAATCTTCGTGGATTTTGTGGGTATAGGTGAACTACGAAATTAAATTTTCAACGAATGACAAATTTCCTATAGGCTTGTATGCAGACTTCGTCAAAATCACGAAATTAAATATCCACGAACAGGTAGGTGTTCCTTAATCCACGAAAATTGGTACCCACGAAAATGAATGAATCCACAGTATGTCTTTTGTGTTTAATAGACAATATCATCAGACTACAAATAATTCCTGCATATTACACTAGGGCTATTAAGTGCCAATCTGACTAAGAACCAGACAGTAGTGAAAACATGACAAACAAAATCCCACTCAAGTTTACATTCATTTATGATCCAAATGTATAATGGTGCATGAATATAACATAAGTTTCCTTGTCCTGTTCTGGTAATTCAAGATATAATTTGGTTGAAATGCACTAGAAATTAACAATTAAGGGGAGCTAACTCCGTAATTTGCTATCATTGCTCAAAATTTATCTAAAGATTTCTCGAATTACCAGACACGCAGAAAAGAAAGACTCAGGATGAGGGTAACTCCAAAATAGAATGGTAAGGTCGGTGGTTTTTTTCTGCCATGTTTTGATTTTTTTCAAAATTGCCTGATTCTTTCAAAGACTAGCTCTTAAAATAAATTGAATGAGGAAGGGTTGCAGGGACTTAGGGCTTTTCCATTAAATTGTATGTGGGAGGGTAGGAAGGGAAGTTTAATTATTGAATGTGGGTCATGGGTCTTTTTTCAGTATGCGGCTATTACCATTATGCAAAATTATCTAAATAATGGTTCTTGGTTGTAGTGATATTTTGAAAGTCCCTTCCTACCCTCCCACATACATTTTTATGATGGAATAGCCCTTATAAATAACAGCACAAAGAATATACTTTTTGGGAATAATATTCTTGAATTACTATTATTTATCTTGCTCTAAGGCCCAAATAAAATGGTCAGCTAACCCTCCCTAATTTACAGGTTCTAAACCTAACATTTTTTTTTCTAAAAAATGAAGGAAATAAAAATAAATGATAAATATGCTAGATTCATCTAATTGCAGATTTTGGTATGTTATCACTTCAGGAATCACTTAAATTTGAAAATTGATCATACTGGACAATTACCGGTGTATCCTGTCACTTAAAAGATTGCAAAGGAACATTCAACCTTAGAAGGTGGAGCATCCTCATGTCTGTCACTTGTTACTAACCTTAGAAGGTGGAGCATCCTCATGTCTGTCACTTGTTACTAACCTTGGTGGGTGGAGCATCCTCATCTATCCTGTCCTTCAAGTCTTTCAAATTCATAACCATTTCCTTACGATCAGACAGCAGCCTGTTCAAATGATATTTGGCCTCCCTGATGCTGACTCTGACCTCCAGCTCGTGACTCAACCAGGACTACAATGATCATTTACATTTTGTGTCATTCTAATGCAAAGTTGTTTGCATCGTTCATTTCGTTTCAAAGTATCAATTCAACAATTGATGGTCTCATATTTTTGAGTGCAAGCGTAGTCTTCTAGTGATTTGATTTCAATATGAAAGATTTTGTGATGTTTTCTCTTACTCGCATTATAATGGAGATAACAATATTGTTTTTTTTTTTTTAAAGAATTGTAGGCATCAATTTTTTATTGGATGGGCAAATATCTAATTACTGGTGATTAATTCACTTATCAGATAAAGTGTCATTATTCATATCTAAATAAAAAGCTGCGCAAAGAGCAAAATGATGCACCTGTTTTGAGCATATCGAAATTGTTGCCAGAATAAAATGAAATATTTAGAAGGTATTTTATTGGAAGTTAGTAAAATGGCACTGTAAAAAAAATTACATGATGATATCCTCTGTAAAACATGATGATGTCCTCTGTAAAAACAACTACAGTCAAACCTTGCTATGTCGAAGTAGAAGGGACCAGACCAAAGTATTTGACATATCCAAGGTTCGACTCATCCGAGGTCGAGTGTGTCATCATAAAATTGAAATGCATGAAATACGGTATGAGATTTGTGTAAACTAGATACTTTTAACAGTGTGACCCTTTATGATTGTGTATTCAATCTCCACATTTTTTGGTCCTTCATAATAATTAAACACACAGGTACAGATACAAATCATGGGCAAAGAAAAATCAATAGTATACACAAATATTTACAAAGGTCAGTCACTATAAATTATAAAATCACTCGCGGAACAAAACAAGTACTAAAAGGTCTCTGATGAGGTCGTCTGCTTTACATTAAATTATAATAAATTTATCGTAATTGTCTTAACTTTATTTAATCTCGGTTTGGGTCAATTAAATTCATTTCAATTTTATATCAGGTGAAATATGTTCAACACACTAGCGTTCCGCTTGGATGATCAACAAAGGTGTTAATTACCGGTCACCATAAACATGTCAATTTAACTGTTATACAAACAAGAGTGTTTACTCAGCTTTAATCCCTTTTGAAAATGATTAGATTACATAAGGAATACATCTGATTTGAGTTTTTATCATTAGGTCTGAATCTTTCGAAAATTTTTACTTTCGAAATTCGAGACATCGGGGTCAATTTACATTAATTATACATCGGCGGGACTATAAAATTTACTCAACTGAGTATTCGAAACAACCGAGTTCGACTCATCAGAGGTAATTATGCAATGTTCAAACAGGAATTTTACCGGGACAGAGAATTACTTCGACTCATCCGAGTTTTCAACACAACCGAGTTCGACACAACGAGGTTCGACTGTATTAAAAAGACCCATAACTCTGAAAAACAAACCAGAAAAGTGTCAGAACCAAAAGCAAACCTGCATTCACAAATCCCAACAACAGTGCAGATATATAATCCAAGCATTCAAGAGCTAAATTTTTACTTAACTCTTTGTTTAACAAAAACATCTTATGTTCACCTGACAAAGACTCTCTGCTTTACAACATTAAGTTATTGTAATTTGACCTACCCTAACCCTATTTCCTATACTGGTTGTGTCATATTTTTCAAATTTTTCATTTCTCTCTTTCTGAACTTGTTTTTGTTTGACTAAAGCTTCCTTCAATCTCTTGTTTGCTGCAGCAGCCTAAAAATAAGTAAATACAGTCATAAACTAAATAGAACAAATAACAAGTAAATTTAACTTGGGGAAGATTAACTTACTGGTAGTAAGACCTGTCACAGCCAGGCTGGGGAACTGGGTAGGCATATGTTTGCAATAATCTGTGATGATACAGCGTGTTTAATGCTCTCCTTTACACCATTACTCATGGTGGTGCTCTTAAGACGGGAGGCTTATACAGATCATACATACAAAATATAACAAAAGGAAATTAAAAACTATGATTTAACAGAACATAAAATGATGAAATTTGAATAAAAAGTGAAGTAAACAGATTTCTTTAAGATATCCCTTTAATAACACTATCAGTCATAAAAGATAAGCAGACCAACTTTCTGTAAATAATTTCATGAGGCAAAAATGTACAACCAGAAACACCTCTGTGGTTAAATGGTCAACCAGGTGGTAAAAACATTAGAACAACATGAGGGTACATTCTTAATTTATGTCCTTTCCTTATTAAAATGCAGTATATTTCCCCCTCTATGAACCTCTATAGATCTTGTTTATTATTCCTTTCTGTTTAAAACATTCTATTGTTTCCCCTTCCCCCTGTGAACCTCTATAGATCTTGTTTATTAGTCTTCCTTTCTGTTTAAAACATTCTATTGTTTCCCCCTCCCCCTGTGAACCTCTATAAATCTTGTTTATTAGTCTTCCTTTCTGTTTAAAACATTCTATTGTTTCCCCCTCCCCCTGTGAACCTCTATACATCTTGTTTATTAAGTCTTCCTTTCTGTTTAAAACATTCTATTGTTTCCCCCTCCCCCTGTGAACCTCTATAAATATTGTTTATTAGTCTTCCTTTCTGTTTAAAACATTCTATTGTTTCTTGTTTATTAGTCTTCCTTTCTGTTTAAAATGTTCTATTGTTTCCCCCTCCCCCTGTGAACCTCTATAAATCTTGTTTATTAGTCTTCCTTTCTGTTTAAAACATTCTATTGTTTCCTCCTCCCCCTGTGAACCTCTATAGATCTTGTTTATTAGTCTTCCTTTCTGTTTAAAACATTCTATTGTTTCCCCCTCCCCCTGTGAACCTCTATAAATCTTGTTTATTAGTCTTCCTTTCTGTTTAAAACATTCTATTGTTTCCTCCTCCCCCTGTGAACCTCTATAGATCTTGTTTATTAGTCTTCCTTTCTGTTTAAAACATTCTATTGTTTCCCCCTCCCCCTGTCAACCTCTATAAATCTTGTTTATTAGTCTTCCTTTCTGTTTAAAACATTCTATTGTTTCCTCCTCCCCCTGTGAACCTCTATAGATCTTGTTTATTAGTCTTCCTTTCTGTTTAAAACATTCTATTGTTTCCCCCTCCCCCTGTGAACCTCTATAAATCTTGTTCATTAGTCTTCCTTTCTGTTTAAAACATTCTATTGTTTCCCCCCCCCCCCCCCCTGTGAACCTCTATAAATCTTGTTTATTAGTCTTCCTTTCTGTTTAAAATGTTCTATTGTTCCCTCCTCACCCTGTGAACCTCTATAGATCTTGTTTATTAGTCTTCCTTTCTGTTTAAAACATTCTATTGTTTCCTCCTCCCCCTGTGAACCTCTATAAATCTTGTTTATTAGTCTTCCTTTCTGTTTAAAACATTCTATTGTTTCCCCCCCCCCCCTGTGAACCTCTATAAATCTTGTTTATTAGTCTTCCTTTCTGTTTAAAATGTTCTATTGTTCCCTCCTCACCCTGTGAACCTCTATAAATCTTGTTTATTAGTCTTCCTTTCTGTTTAAAACATTCTATTGTTTCCCCCTCCCCCTGTGAACCTCTATAAATCTTGTTTATTAGTCTTCCTTTCTGTTTAAAACATTCTATTGTTTCCTCCTCCCCCTGTGAACCTCTATAGATCTTGTTTATTAGTCTTCCTTTCTGTTTAAAACATTCTATTGTTTCCCCCTCCCCCTGTGAACCTCTATAAATCTTGTTTATTAGTCTTCCTTTCTGTTTAAAACATTCTATTGTTTCCCCCTCCCCCTGTGAACCTCTATAAATCTTGTTTATTAGTCTTCCTTTCTGTTTAAAATGTTCTATTGTTTCCCCCTCCCCCTGTGAACCTCTATAAATCTTGTTTATTAGTCTTCCTTTCTGTTTAAAACATTCTATTGTTTCCCCCTCCCCCTGTGAACCTCTATAAATCTTGTTTATTAGTCTTCCTTTCTGTTTAAAACATTCTATTGTTTCCTCCTCCCCTCTGTGAACCTCTATAGATCTTGTTTATTAGTCTTCCTTTCTGTTTAAAACATTCTATTGTTCCCTCCTCCCCTTTGTGAACCTCTATAGATCTTGTTTATTAGTCTTCCTTTCTGTTTAAAATATTCTATTGTTCCCTCCTCCCCTCTGTGAACCTCTATAGATCTTGTTTATTAGTCTTCCTTTCTGTTTAAAACATTCTATTGTTTCCCCCTCCCCCTGTGAACCTCTCTAAATCTTGTTTATTAGTCTTCCTTTCTGTTTAAAACATTCTATTGTTTCCTCCTCCCCCTGTGAACCTCTATAAATATTGTTTTTTAGTCTTCCTTTCTGTTTAAAACATTCTATTGTTTCCTCCTCCCCCTGTGAACCTCTATAAATATTGTTTATTAGTCTTCCTTTCTGTTTAAAACATTCTATTGTTTCTTGTTTATTAGTCTTCCTTTCTGTTTAAAATGTTCTATTGTTTCCCCCTCCCCCTGTGAACCTCTATAAATCTTGTTTATTAGTCTTCCTTTCTGTTTAAAACATTCTATTGTTTCCCCCTCCCCCTGTGAACCTCTATAGATCTTGTTTATTAGTCTTCCTTTCTGTTTAAAACATTCTATTGTTTCCCCCTCCCCCTGTGAACCTCTATAAATCTTGTTTATTAGTCTTCCTTTCTGTTTAAAACATTCTATTGTTTCCCCCTCCCCCTGTGAACCTCTATAAATCTTGTTTATTAGTCTTCCTTTCTGTTTAAAACATTCTATTGTTCCCTCCTCCCCTCTGTGAACCTCTATAGATCTTGTTTATTAGTCTTCCTTTCTGTTTAAAACATTCTATTGTTTCCTCCTCCCCCTGTGAACCTCTATAAATATTGTTTATTAGTCTTCCTTTCTGTTTAAAACATTCTATTGTTTCTTGTTTATTAGTCTTCCTTTCTGTTTAAAATGTTCTATTGTTTCCCCCTCCCCCTGTGAACCTCTATAAATCTTGTTTATTAGTCTTCCTTTCTGTTTAAAACATTCTATTGTTTCCTCCTCCCCCTGTGAACCTCTATAGATCTTGTTTATTAGTCTTCCTTTCTGTTTAAAACATTCTATTGTTTCCCCCTCCCCCTGTGAACCTCTATAGATCTTGTTTATTAGTCTTCCTTTCTGTTTAAAACATTCTATTGTTTCCCCCTCCCCCTGTGAACCTCTATAAATCTTGTTTATTAGTCTTCCTTTCTGTTTAAAACATTCTATTGTTCCCTCCTCCCCTCTGTGAACCTCTATAGATCTTGTTTATTAGTCTTCCTTTCTGTTTAAAACATTCTATTGTTTCCTCCTCCCCCTGTGAACCTCTATAAAAATTGTTTATTAGTCTTCCTTTCTGTTTAAAACATTCTATTGTTTCTTGTTTATTAGTCTTCCTTTCTGTTTAAAATGTTCTATTGTTTCCCCCTCCCCCTGTGAACCTCTATAAATCTTGTTTATTAGTCTTCCTTTCTGTTTAAAACATTCTATTGTTTCCTCCTCCCCCTGTGAACCTCTATAGATCTTGTTTATTAGTCTTCCTTTCTGTTTAAAACATTCTATTGTTTCCCCCTCCCCCTGTCAACCTCTATAAATCTTGTTTATTAGTCTTCCTTTCTGTTTAAAACATTCTATTGTTTCCTCCTCCCCCTGTGAACCTCTATAGATCTTGTTTATTAGTCTTCCTTTCTGTTTAAAACATTCAATTGTTTCCCCCTCCCCCTGTGAACCTCTATAGATCTTGTTTATTAGTCTTCCTTTCTGTTTAAAACATTCTATTGTTTCCCCCTCCCCCTGTGAACCTCTATAAATCTTGTTTATTAGTCTTCCTTTCTGTTTAAAACATTCTATTGTTTCCTCCTCCCCTCTGTGAACCTCTATAGATCTTGTTTATTAGTCTTCCTTTCTGTTTAAAATATTCTATTGTTCCCTCCTCCCCTCTGTGAACCTCTATAGATCTTGTTTATTAGTCTTCCTTTCTGTTTAAAATATTCTATTGTTCCCTCCTCCCCTCTGTGAACCTCTATAGATCTTGTTTATTAGTCTTCCTTTCTGTTTAAAACATTCTATTGTTTCCCCCTCCCCCTGTGAACCTCTATAAATCTTGTTTATTAGTCTTCCTTTCTGTTTAAAACATTCTATTGTTTCCTCCTCCCCCTGTGAACCTCTATAAAAATTGTTTATTAGTCTTCCTTTCTGTTTAAAACATTCTATTGTTTCTTGTTTATTAGTCTTCCTTTCTGTTTAAAATGTTCTATTGTTTCCCCCTCCCCCTGTGAACCTCTATAAATCTTGTTTATTAGTCTTCCTTTCTGTTTAAAACATTCTATTGTTTCCCCCTCCCCCTGTGAACCTCTATAAATCTTGTTTATTAGTCTTCCTTTCTGTTTAAAACATTCTATTGTTTCCCCCTCCCCCTGTGAACCTCTATAAATCTTGTTTATTAGTCTTCCTTTCTGTTTAAAACATTCTATTGTTTCCTCCTCCCCTGTGAACCTCTATAAATATTGTTTATTAGTCTTCCTTTCTGTTTAAAACATTCTATTGTTTCTTGTTTATTAGTCTTCCTTTCTGTTTAAAATGTTCTATTGTTTCCCCCTCCCCCTGTGAACCTCTATAAATCTTGTTTATTAGTCTTCCTTTCTGTTTAAAACATTCTATTGTTTCCTCCTCCCCCTGTGAACCTCTATAAATCTTGTTTATTAGTCTTCCTTTCTGTTTAAAACATTCTATTGTTTCCCCCTCCCCCTGTGAACCTCTATAAATCTTGTTTATTAGTCTTCCTTTCTGTTTAAAACATTCTATTGTTTCCTCCTCCCCCTGGAACCTCTATAGATCTTGTTTATTAGTCTTCCTTTCTGTTTAAAACATTCTATTGTTCCCTCCTCCCCTCTGTGAACCTCTATAGATCTTGTTTATTAGTCTTCCTTTCTGTTTAAAATGTTCTATTGTTTCCCCCTCCCCCTGTGAACCTCTATAAATCTTGTTTATTAGTCTTCCTTTCTGTTTAAAACATTCTATTGTTTCCTCCTCCCCCTGTGAACCTCTATAAATCTTGTTTATTAGTCTTCCTTTCTGTTTAAAACATTCTATTGTTTCCCCCTCCCCCTGTGAACCTCTATAAATCTTGTTTATTAGTCTTCCTTTCTGTTTAAAACATTCTATTGTTTCCTCCTCCCCCTGTGAACCTCTATAAATCTTGTTTATTAGTCTTCCTTTCTGTTTAAAACATTCTATTGTTTTCCCCTCCCCCTGTGAACCTCTATAAATCTTGTTTATTAGTCTTCCTTTCTGTTTAAAACATTCTATTGTTTCCTCCTCCCCCTGTGAACCTCTATAGATCTTGTTTTTAGTCTTCCTTTCTGTTTAAAACATTCTATTGTTCCCTCCTCCCCCTGGAACCTCTATAGATCTTGTTTATTAGTCTTCCTTTCTGTTTAAAACATTCTATTGTTTCCTCCTCCTCCTCCTGTGAACCTCTATAAATCTTACCTCTTCTCCCTTTCTTTTCAGAATGCTTTGTTGTTTCTGGTTTTCTCTCTGTAATTTGGCAATCTCACAATCCCTTTTTCTTCCCTATTAAATCACATTAATATTTCATAGTCACTATATAAATGTAAATAATTTTCATCAGTCTATCAGAAATACTACATCTTATGTGGAATTTGCTTTTCCCGTCCTTTCATAGTGTGCATCCTACCAATGTCCACCCAAGTTTATATATTGAATACTAACATTTATCTACTGATATTATAGACTGATTGATGTTTGCTTAATGCCACCTTAGTACAAACAGCTTTATTACCGCAAAACAAAAATAAGGAAATGCGGTCTCATTGCCAATGAGACAACTATCGATTTAAGTCCAAAGAATAAAATGTAAACAATTACAATATAATTGTATGAATATTTGGACAAAATAAGTGTTCAAAACATTCAGAGAAAAGGTCCTTAATCATGATAAATCGGGCATTGAAATGAAATTTCATGCTTTGTGGAGGCTGTGAAAAGTTTCTCCATGCATGAAATATTTGCCCCCAATATCCTGACTACTATGGTGTGTTTTATATTCTTGAGATTAAACTTCTGTTGTACAATTTTTCTCTATGGTCTGTTTGTTTATCAAATTGTTTTGCAGTTCACCTGAATATGTGCTCTATTCATACATTATTTCCAACCAAATTAGCTTGATGTTCCCCGATATATTGTTTGTATTATTTCTATATTTCAGTACAATAAAATTGATCAGGCAAACAATGAGAGTATTTATCAAATTTCATTGCTTATAAGTCTGTAATTTGATAAAAGTTGCCCTAATCTATGTTCTTCAATACAGATGTTGTTTTATCAATAACTAGCAAAGAATTCCACTCACTGTGACTTTGAGATGAAGAACGGTAAAAAAACACTGGTCCTTTGCTTTTCGTTTTTGAAGTTGGAGTACGAATTTTAAAGTGTCATGAAAAAATAAACCATATTCCTTTTTTTTTATCTTTTTTAGTTCCTTCTTTTCTCCTCACATGTATTCAGTTTTCACGCTGAGTGGCAGCCCAGGCAGCCCAGGCTTGTAATATTGCTCTCGGGCCTGTAAAAATCATATCTACAAGCCAACAGAATATAACTAAAAATTTTCAAAAATTGAGCTCCGGGCCTGTAGATTTAGCAGTTCATCGTGAAGACTGTGTATTTAAATAAAAACAAGAATGTGTCCATAGTAAAAGGATGCCCCACTCGCACTATCATTTTCTAATTTCAGTGAACCATGAAATTGGGGTCAAAACTCTAATTTGGCATTAAAATAAAAAAGATCATATCATAGGAAACATGTGTACTAAGTTTCAAGTTGATTGGACTTCAACTTCATCAAAAACTTTAACCTGCAGTGGGATGGATGGACGGACGAACGAACAGAAAAACGAATGGACACACAGACCAGAAAACATAATGCCCCTACTACTATCGTAGGTGGTGCATAAAAATTCCAAAGAAAAACCTTTTGTTGTAACTGCATGACTTCTTTTTCTTTTTTCATCTTCCATCGTCTAAATTCATCTGCATCTTCTTTCATCTGTTTCATCAACTTAACTCTTTGTTGTTTCATACCCTAAAATCATACACATATTTCTAATATTTGTAAATTATACAAGAACATGTTCTTATTTAAAACAAAAACTAGACATCATAATTGAATTTGTAACACCATATGATCAATATGGACATTTACAAGGGAGTGAATTGAATATAAACCTTTTAAAAAGTAAGTCTACCGTAGAAACTCGCCTAATAGTCGATCCTACTATAAGTCGGGGGCCCTTTTCAGCTCCAAATTCTAAGGATTTAGTCTTGACCCTCGTATAAGTCGGACAAAATTTGGGCATTTTTTTTCAGCTGACAGTAACTGAACGCCGGTAAAACCAATGCAAATCCAGGAATAATATTCATTTCTGCATTAATGTTTGTTTGGTTTGAATTAAGTTGATGCTCATCATGATAATTTATATTGCTGTTAATAATAAAGATGTATTCATTTCTCTTGTTTTGTTCACTGTTCAAATGTTAGATTAGCCATGTGTTGTTTACGTAATGCATCAATGATTTTGAAGGGTATGACTAACAACCTATTGTTTGAGAAAAGCGAATATAAACCAATATGAACCTGAAAAATTTAAAGTCAATCAACACTTGATGAAAATATTTTTCACAGCATACATAACTCGGTGTTAAATGAGCATGTACACTTCATAATTCTTATTATATTGTGATGATTAAAGGATTAAAAAAATTAAGTGAAGCTAATCAATATATTAGAATAACTAACTCCAACTCATTAGTGTCATCTGTTTACCTATCACTGATAGTTTTCACACCTTTAGTAAATACAACTCTTTGTCTCTTAATTGGGGTTATCAATGGATTATATTGGCTTGTCAATCAATTTTGTAATTTTTGTTTACTTGAGACACTTTAATGAATGATATTTTGATTTTGGGAATGAATCTTAAAATTATTTTTTGATTATTATATGATTTATAAGCATTGAATTGATATCATGATATCACAATAATGACACAATAACTCCGCTGAAAACATCCTTTCACATATTTGGTACATTGTTATCTCCTTTTCATTTTTGGTTCTTGGCTCTTCTTTTGGGTTTATAGGAAAACCATGTGACCATGAAAATCAATACACAAATTGGAAACAGTAGAATTTCAACACGAATTTGCAGAAAATGTTTACCAAAGAACAAATAAAACACAAAGACAGTATTATAGTCATTTATTTTCAACAAAAACTTTTTATTTATTGATTTATGTAGGTTTGGCAATCAAAAACCGAGTTTTGACCAGGAAATTCACTCCTGACCACTTTTCTCAAGCTTGGATTTTTCCTCTGTTCGCTAGATCTCGTCTATTAGTCGGTCCCCCTCTCTGGATTATGAATTTTACTCCCAATTTTCCGACTTATAAGCGAGTAGGAACGGTATATGTGTTTGCACACTTTAAATCATGATAAACATTTTTTTTTATAGTTTTAGCGAAAATGACTGCCTAATGAACATGTCTTATAGGTAACCTTCCAAACATAAAAAGTTTTGAATATTCCTATGAGAAGAACAACATTCTATCATGTCATGCTATATGCTTATATTAACATGGATAGGCAAGATATTAGTCAATATTTACACCAAGGCTTCCAAAACGGTCATATATTCCGGACATTTCTATAATGTCCGGTAAAAGTCCGGCTGGGCAAAGCACGAAACGGTCATCTACTTTTTAGTTTTCAAGGCTTTTGTAAGAGACGGTCATAATAATTTTTAACATAATTCGCGATCTTTTTGACCCAACCTTTTGCCTTTAACAGCCACACATTTCCGGTCATAAAAGTGACATGATCATTAAGTATTATCAAAACAACCCCTACTTTAATACCTTCTCATTTTAATCAAGGTTAATTAGTTGTCAAACAGCTGAAATTGACCTGTTCAGGTGACAGGTAAACTATTTTGAACCGGACATTGATCGGTCTATTCAAAGTTATTTTCTTACATTTCACCGTTTTGCATCTAATTTATTTAGTTAAAAAGATTTAAACTATCAGAAATACATTTACAAATATGATTTGATGAAAAAATTAAAAAGTTGAAAATGAAAAATCGTCGTAACCACATTGTTTGAACCAGAGACATGTCTCTGTTTGAACTAGTACACGTGTGCGCATGTGCGCAGGTGTGAAATTTAATTATGCATCCTAATTTCTTCAAAAAATGCTTGAATTGTCATAGATACCTTTATCTCACGTTTATTTCGAAAATTTTCTTGAAGAAATAACGTAGAATGAGCTACTTATACACTCATTCATGCTTTGCAAATGTACACGGAATTTACGTATCCGTCCCAGGTCCATGTTTTACCATTGTCAAGATAACATCCGGTAGATTAAAAACGAAAGTAAAGTTTTTGACAACGTTATTTTGCACAAATAAAAAGTCTAAGGCAGATATAAGTACGGTGATGTTGCACACTTCGAATGATGCACTGCCAATTTAACAGTTTACGTCAGAACTTCGAATTTGAATCAAAGAAAGTTTAATATCGTTTTTTTTTAATGTCAATCATTGGGATTGCCAACTCGGCAACTGATTACCATAATTGCCTTTTCTTTATTTATTCTTAAGGGATTAAAATCGGGATAATATATAAAATGTCCGGCTGGCTAAAAATAATTTTGAAAGCCCTGATTTACACCATACTAAAGCTCAGGACTAAGATATTGACAAATATAATGCCAAATATTTGTTAAAAATGAGTAGATATAAAAATAAGATGAACTGGTATGATTGCAAATGAGACAACTCTCCGCAAAAGACCTAATGACACAGAAATTAACAACTATAGGTCCCCATACAGCCTTCAACAATGAGTAAAACCCATACCGCATAGTCAGCTATAAAAGGCCCTGAAATGACAAATTTAAACAATTCAAACGAGAAAACTAACAGCCTGAATACGTGGTGTCCATTTTTTTCTGGAATAGCCTTTTCAATAGAGACAAAAATCTAGATATAAACTGTATGAAACACTGGCCCTACCTGTATATCCACATTCATTTTAGAAAATTGTTTTTCTGACTGTTCCTACCTGTATATCCACATTCATTTTAGAAACTTGTTATTCTGACTGTCCCTACCTGTATATCCACATTCATTTTAGAAACTTGTTTTTCTGACTGTCCCTACCTGTATATCCACATTCATTTTTAGAAACTTGTTTTTCTGACTGTCCCTACCTGTATATCCACATTCATTTTAGAAACTTGTTTTTCTGACTGTTCCTTCATTTTTAACAGTTTTGTTTGATCGTTGACTTTTCTCTTAAGTTGTGACATCTGTTGTTCTAACTCTTTTAATCTTTGTCTTCTCTGCTCTGCCACTCTATACAAGTACAAATAGTTCAACAGTTTGAATGAGATAAATTGCCTACATCGGATGATATGTACCGATTATCAGGTTGTCTGCATATTGATATCGTAAAACATCAGCTTCGAGTCACAATATGAAGCTTTTTATTGAGTGAGCGCAGCAAACTACATCAAAAAGGCTCCATATTGTGTCAAACAGCTGATATTTTACAATATAAATATGAAGACATTCAGATAATCCATTTATCAGGTTGTATTTGCGTATTATGCATGATAGAAACAAGTGTTTTGTTTGTTTCAGCTGCAAACTGGTGATAAGTTCTGGTCAAACTTATCAACGTCATTTCATATATTATGACGTCGACAATATGTCCAGGTCAAAGTTATTAAGGCCAGGTTGACGTATTTGACGTTACAAAGCCAGGGGCAGATCCAGCCATTTTAAAAAGGGGATTTCCCAACCCAGGAGAAAGGGGGGGGGCTCCAACCATATGTCCCCATTCAAATGCATTGATCGGCCAAAAAAAAGGGGGGGTTCCAACCCCCAGAACCCCCCCCCCCCCTGGATCTGCCACTGACAAAGCCGTGATATGCAACTTTATTAACAGCTGAGCAGAGTGATACAGACAGATGGACGACCGATAATACTTTGGGAATCTCCAGAAAGATTGTAATAATAACTAGATGTGTAGGTATGACATAAATCATCACATCTGCAATTCTAACTTTCAAATATACCTTGAACCGTAATACAAATACACTACAGATTTGTATTTTTAATTCTGTAAGAGTTGAAATTTATTTGGCATAATTTATTTGTATTACAGCCGATTTCATTGAGTGTGTAGGAAAAGGTAAAATCTTTGGTTAGCTTGCTTGCTAGCTGAACCACGAAGTCATTATTAGGTTAGGTAAACTACCCTCCTTTATGAGTAGACTAGTCCGACAGACAGATAGAATTGGTTATCTGTGGGACTAGTCTACTCATAAAGGAGGGTAGTTTACCTGACCTAATAATGACTTCACAGTTCAGCTAACAAGCAAGCTAACCAAAGATAATACCTATTCCTACACACTCAATAAAATCGGCTGTAAACTGCAGTTTATTATAGACATTCTGTAACTATTATTGGTGTATTTTCTCTAAAGTTTCTAGTTTCAGCTATGTTTGGAATTCTGTAGGATTTGAAATTTATTTGGCACAATGTACTGACTAGACTGTTCATCTCTGTATAGTTGCAAATTGTATTAATATTCTACAGATTGCAGTTTTAATTCTTTACTTACTATTACTAGTTATTGTGGATTAATTATCCTTCGTGGGATACCAATTTTTGAACAACAAATTTAAATGTTCAACAAAGTAGAAATTTTCTATAGGCTTGTGTCAAGACTTTGGCAAAAAAACGAAATAAAATATCTAGAAAAATACAATTTTTCCTCAATTCACAAAATTGGTATCAAAGAAAATAAATGAATCCACGGAAGTTGATATTTTGTTATTTACAAATTCTTACTTGCTAGTTGCCGAGTTATATTTCGCATTTTCTAAAGCCTGTGCTAATTCCTCTTTCTCTTTCTGTAGACTTTCTATCTCAGAATTCATCCCACTGATGGCATGCTGAAATGGAGAGAAAAATGGAAAAATAATCATTAAAAATGCTAAAATGGACAAAAAATCAATTAAACAAGTGAATCTGTGAGCTACTGCTCACTAATGATACCCCCACCCCGTTAAAAGTATAAGGCAAACAGGAAGTTGTTGAGTGATGAATCTGAAAACGCATCACACGGTATAGCTGACTCATATAAACCCTGAAACCAAATTTCAGAAATCCTTGTAATGTAGTTCCTGAGAAAGATGCGACGAAAAATATTCATGGGACGGACAGATGGGCGGACTGATGGACAGACAGAGGTAGAACAGTATATCCCCACTTTTTTAAAGCGGGGGTATAATGAACTAAAACTTGGGGGAAAATCAATGAAAAAGCGGAAATGTAGGGAAATCAATGGAAAAAGCTAAAATGGACAAAAAATCAATCAGAAGCCATAATGGACGGAAAATTAATGGAAAAATTCGTAAGGGTTCAGCGGAACCCAGTGTCTCGCCTACTTTTTCTGTTAATCGCAGGCTCAACAAAAATGAGGAAGTAAATCAATAAAAATATTCCTCTTGATACTATCTTTTGATTGTAAGAACTTTCTGTCCAAGTTTGGTAAAAATCCAGGATAGTTTATGAATCTAATAAATGTTTAAAAACTTTATCTGCAGACTGAATGTAATGTTAACTTGAAGAAAACAAAATTTCCTTCTAGATACTAGCATTTGATCATAAACAAGCTTCTGTTAAAGTTTGGTGCAAATCCAAAATAGTATAAGAAATTTATTAAAATTTAAAAAACTTTAACCACAGAGTGAATGTGTTGTTTCCTGACAGGAAATCTAAGTCCATTTAAAAGTAAAATACGGAAAAAATGGATTTATTATTTTACAAAATTTCCTTCTAGATACTAGCTTTTGATCATAAACAAGCTTCTGTCCAAGTTTGGTACAAATCCAAAATAGTATAAGAAAGTTATTAAAATTTTAAAAACTTTAACCACAGAGTGAATGTGTTGTTTCCTGGCAGAAAATCTAAGTCCATTTAAAAGTAAAATACGGAAAAAATGGATTTATTATTTTACAAAATTTCCTTCTGGATACTATCTTATGATCATAAACAAGCTTCTGTCCAAGTTTGGTAGAAACCCAGGATAGTTTAAGAAAGTTATTAAAATTTTAAAAACTTTAACCACAGAGTGAATGTAATATTTCCCGGCAGAAAAACTAAGTCCATTTATAAGTAAAATACGGAAAAAATGGAATTTTATTTTTACAAAATTTACTTCTGGATACTATCTTATGATCATAAACAAGCTTCTGTCCAAGTTTGGTAGAAATCCAAGGTAGTTTAAGAAAGTTATTAAAATTTCAAAAACTTTAACCACAGAGTGAATATTTGTGGACGCCGACGACGACGACGACGCCGACGGAATATAGGATCGCTATGTCTCGCTTTTTCGACTAAAGTCGAACGCTCGACAAAAATATAAAATGGTGAAAAATCAAGCCCATATAGTCCCCTTCCCTCTTAAGTTAACCTACATCATATTGGCCTTTCATTGCCTTCATCTGATCATCATTTTGAGTCATTTGTTTAGCAAGCAGTTCCTTTTTCTCCAGCAGTTTGTTCAGTTCTTGTAATTCATTTGTCATCTTGGCTTGCCTGAAGGCATATTCTTTAGACATAGCCCTACTGTCTGGGGTTCCTGGAAGGGACTCAGCCTGGTCCATATCCTCATCTTGTTCTGGTATACTGTCTTCTGGTTCCTCCTATAATTGATTAAAAAAACGATCACAACTTAAGCCAAATAAAAATATATGTGTGGTTCCAGTTACCCTACCTACCCTACTTTTTAGTCTTAATAATAGCCTATCCTAAAGATTTTTTTGTCATTTTTCATTAAGCACTGTTGAAGTCAGAATGTGGCTCCCATAGACTCAATGTAAAAAAAAACATAAAATAAAAAAAAATCCCTACCTACCTAAACTTTTTTTTAAGATGCAACTGGAACCACACATACTATTTTATTCTGCCATAGAAGCATCAAAACAAGAAGAGTTTTCAGACTGCTTTTACATTTTAGAGTAAACAAGTATTCTGACAGTATTGCATGGCATTACATAGTCCCCTACAGGTTAAAAATTCATTGTACTGGGACAAAAAGCTAAGGTAATCAGTAATTTGTAATATATTCTATTAGAAAAGCTGTTGATTCGAAAGAAATTTATGAAACCAAAACTTTCTAATATTACCAAATCTTTGCTAAAAAACAGATAACTAAGATCAGGGACCATAACTCCGAAAAATATAATTGAACCAAAACAAAATTCCAACTTGAACTGTAACTGGTCATGATAAAAACTATATACCAAATATCAAAACACTATCTTCAAGCAGGAGGAAAAAAAGGTGGAAAACTGATTTGCTGGATTGACAGATGGACAGACAGACAGACGTAATGCAAACCTTAAGCCCCTCTTCGACTTTATTGGTAGGAGACTAATAAAGTTTGGTCTGATGCATCATTTAAAAGCCATAATACTATGTCAAAATGTGCATCAGAATTCTTTCATGACAGCATTTCAATTTAGGGTGTATAAATGTTGTATAAAATTGAGAATGAAATAGAATGTATAGTATGTCTTATGGCACAATAAGAAAAAATTCGTAACGGTTCCGCGGAACCCAGTGTCTCGCCAACTTTTGCTGTTAATCGCAGGCTCAACAAAAATGAGGAAAAAAGTTAATAAAAATATTCCTCTCTATACTATCTTTTGATTGTAAGTAGCTTCTGTCCAAGTTTGGTAAAAATCCAGGATAGTTAATGAATCTAATAAATGTTTTAAAAACTTAACTGCAGACTGTATGTAATGTTAACTGGAAGAAAAACTAAGTCCATTTATAAGTAAAATACAGAAAAAATGGAACAAAATTTTAACAAAATTTCCTTCTAGATACTAGCTTTTAATCATAAACAAGCTTCTGTCCAAGTTTGGTAGAAATCCAGGATAGTTTAAGAAAGTTGTTAAAAGTTAAAAACTTTAACCACAGAGTGAATGTAATGTTAACTGGCAGAAAAACTAAGTCCATTTATAAGTAAAATACGGAAAAATGGAATTTTTTTTTTACAAAATTTACTTTTGAATATTATCTTATGATCATAAACAAGCTTCTTTCCAAGTTTGGTAGAAATCCAGGATAGTTTAAGAAAGTTATTAAAATTTCAAAAACTTTAACCACAGAGTGAATATTTGTGGACGCCGCCGACGACGCCGCCGACGCCGACGGAATGTAGGATCGCTTTGTCTCGCTTTTTCGACAAAAGTCGAAGGCTCGACAAAAATCCAATTGAACAACTGTGAACTGCTGTATAAATGGGATGGATAGATAGACGTATAAAGTCCAGATTCAAGTATTACATATGTATTTATAATGTAAATTTAGAAATAATTGCGAGGTTTATATTAATGTGAATAATGCAACTTGATTAGTATCACAATAAAAAGAACTCACATTCTGAAAACTTAAAATATAGATCTGTTTGCGTGTTGTTTTTTTTTTAGAAATTGTAATTATTAAACTGGCAATTTATTTCCATTCTTGAAAAATCGCAAAAATAAAGGCATGCAATAATTTCTGAATTTACAGTAATAAGATTTTTTTCAACTCTTTTAATTCAGTGTGATATACATGTATGAACCTTGTTTTGTACTGGACTTACACATTCTTATCAAACATGCTAGATCACTACGTGTCTGCAAGAAGATACCATCATGATATGGTTGTCTGTTATGGAATAAAAGTGTCACATGAAACTACACATCCTGTCCTATTTCCATGGATTGTGATATCGCCTAACTTGTACTTGCTTTTGCAACACAGAAGTAAAGTGTTGTCCAACTTTTTTTTCTTTTCCTTTTTTGCCATTAATTTTTGGTTTCTTATCCCATTTGTTATCTTCCACTTTCAACCAGAGAAGTATCATCTCATAGACAATTAATTTAAGGTTTAAGCAAAGATCTCTTCACTTGTCAAATTAATTGATTGATTTGTTGGTGTTTAAGGCCACTTTCAACACTATTGTGCTATTTCGTAGCAGTCAGTTTTTATTGGTGTCAAAATGCTAAACTTTGTAGTTAAACTTCAAATAGTGCAGGAAAACAAACTTGTAATGACGACTGCTAAATGATGACAGTTGCCCATGATGTACACAAGGTGTATTAGCGAAAAAACAACAAAAAACAAGAATGTATCCATAGTACACGGATGACCCACTCACACTATCATTTTCAATGTTCAGTGGACCGTGAAATTGGGGTCAAAACTCTAATTTGGCATTAAAATAAGAAAGATCATATCATAGGCAACATATGTACTAAGTTTCAAGTTGATTGGATTCATGAAAAACTACCTTGACCAAAAACTTTAATAAAAAACTTTAACCTGAAGCAGAAAAGACGGACGAACCAACCAACGTACGGATGAACGGACGCACAGACCTAAAAACATAATGCCCCTAGGTGGGGCATAAACTACTATAATTGATTTCTGTCAAATTAATTACCTTATCGTCATTAACTCGCTCAGCAAGATGTCTCAATTTGTCCATCTGTTCTTTCAACTCTGGATGAGAGTTCACATCTAAACTTGAACTTAATACATTGAAATCCAACCTGAAAATAGTCATATAATTTCCCATTTAATATTTGCATTATCAAGTTTTCTGCATGCTCACCGGTATAATACATCAGACAAAAGTCCCATTATGATGAATTTTTGGCTAATATTCAAGGGTGGCATTCAAATAGCACAAAACTGGAATAATTGGTAAAAATAAAGAAACAAGTAGTTAAACTCGCTATAAACCTGAAGATGAGATACAACTTTTTGCTGCTGCAAAATGCTCATTTTCTTACTCTTTTCAGTCTTCAGTATGAAAGTAAAATTTTCCTTTAATAAAAAAATTATAAAAAACAAAAAATCTAATTTTGTCAGGCAAAGTTGATCATTGATGGTTTTGGCTATTGTTTTTAGGTCCCTTTTTGTCGTATATCAACCTTAAGTATTTAAAGACATGTATTAAAATTAGACCTATTATCAGTGCAAATTACTGACAAACAATAAAAATGCATGATTAATCAATGATTTTTAGGTTCATTAGTTATAGAGATAAAAAAAAATATATCATAATGGTCGTCCCGTAACATTACCAATGCTTTATTTTCTATATACTGTGGATTCATTTATTTTCGTGGGTACCAATTTTCGTGGTTTGAGGAAAAATCGTATTTTCGTGGATATTTGATTTCATGGTTTTTCCAAAGTCTGCATAGAAGCCAATAGAATTTTGTACTTCGTTGAACATTTAAATTCATGGTTCACACGTAACCATGAAATCCACGAAAATTGGTATCCCACGAATATTAATGAATCCACAGTAGACTAAAGACAAAACTCTAGATGTAATTTATTTATACCCAGTGTCCTTTTTGAAATCATCCAGTCTGTTTTTCAATCGTTCACATTTCAGGTCTAACTTGATAACTTTCTCACATAGATTAGCACTGTTATCAACAGCTCTCTGTAGTTCATCTGACAACTTCTCATTTTCTTCCTGAAATAACAAAACACATCAAGACATAAATCAACTGTGCCAAAGGTACAGAGGCAAATGGTCCTTATATAAATAGTAAAAACATCAAAATTATAGGAAGTTGTAGGACAATTTGATTCCATCAAACTCTTAAGGTAGATTCATGGTATACCGCCATCTTGAATTGTACAATCCCAGTACAAAATCGGTCAAGTTATTTGCCCAAATCTGCAAATGTGGAGACAGATTTGCAATTTATTGGTTAGACTGTTAATTTATATAAAGAAAACTTGGTGATTTATTGTATAACTCAAAATATTTAAACAAATATTAAATTTTGTGTTTTTAGAATCAATTTTTTTTAAATAAGCCATTTTAGGGGATATAACTCTTTAAGTAAAAAATATATACTGGACTGATAGGGAAATTTTTTATTTTTACTTGTAGCAAGAAAACAAGTTCCATTTTTTCTTTTTATTTTCTTAAAATATATTATAAAACCTGTCTTCTCACAATTTATTTCAAAATTCTATCTCATAGATTTTTTTTTTATGCACACAAATGTGTTTTTTCATGAACAATCTAACCAAATTTAGGCAATTTTCAACGACTCATAGCTTTGAAAATAGCACTGTGACCCATACTTTTTATTATTCTTTTGAAAAAAGCATAGTAAAATCTTCATTTTGGAAAAGTATAAGAAAATTCTATCTCAAGAATTATATACCTTTGATCCACCTTAAAAAATCAATAATGCATCTTTAATATTATTCATACTAAAATTCACGTATAATAGATTTTCCACCAGTAGTGTATTGTTCTTTTTATTCCGTTTAAAAGCATGAAATTACCAATAGTAGTATGAGATGCTTTGACCCTACTAATATGATATGTGTGATAAACACATTGAAGATTACCTCTAGCTGTTTGTTTTTCTCTGCCAATTCTTTGACTTTGTCCATAATAGAGTCCTGATCTCTGAAAAAATATAAAAATATAAAATTTTAGTTCTAAATGTACGGAAATATAAACTGATATTATTAAAGTTTTTTAAATGTACATGTAGTATATAATTGTGAGTATTTTCAAATGAGATGTTTAACTTTTCTATTTTTTTCATGTTCTTTTTCCTGCATAATTTTTAAAGGAATTCTTCTGTTTGAGATAAACCATTGTAGACTATTAAAGTAGAAATCTATAATTGAAGGTTCATTGAGTAATTGGAAGATTAACATACATTTAGAGAGTACTTTTGAGACAAAAATTTCAAATTAAAATTGTCCAATTAGTCGTTTTCTATGAAATAATCAAAATATTTCTGTAACACAACTGTAAATCATTCAATCTAAGCAAGAAGAAATTCAAAACTGACCAATTCCAGGTCTTGACCTGTGTCCCTGCATGAAATTGATCGAGGTAACATGTATTCTAAAGCATACTGTAAACCAACTTATTTTCGCAGATACTTTATTTTGTGTTTAGCCCTTTGTATGCCACATCGTGGCGATTTACTTTTCGCGATTTTCAAATTTACTTGATACTTTTAAATAAGGGAAGATCCCAGTTTTAAATATTCGTGACGATTAATTTTTGCGTTACTTTTTTCTTTGAAAACACGCGAAAATAAATCACTTGCGAAAATTAGTTGGTTTACAGTAATTGATCATTTCCTTTTGTTGAAGCAAAGAAAACTTTATCGAAATTTTCCTTGTATGTGTCATATATATCTAACCTATAGGCAAGCCAGTAATGGCTGCATGGCAGATGTGAAAATTGATTTCATGCTACAACTCAACATTATCAAGTTGCAGACCAAATATAAAATCATTCCTTTTTTTAAAAGCCAAGAAACTTTTACAAAAGTTTTCTACCAAAGGTCTTTTGGACAGACAAGAATGAAAGACAGAGTCCAGTGGTTACCTGACAGGCTCTTGCTGTTGGTGACAAAGGTAAAAATAGAGACAGAATATCTCATCATCTCCTTGATAAATATACATACGCGTATGACATGGATGTAGATGCTGTAGTAGATGTTGTAGATGAAAATACTGATGTATATGTAGCTACTGAACTCTCACACTTAATTGTTAAACCCCCAGACTGAAGTCTTGTCTCTAATTCTATTACCTGCAAATATATAAATAGTATTATGTTTAAACGTTCTGGTGACTGATAATTTATAGGCATATTACTCAATGTTTATATGAACCCTAAGATAAGTTTATTTTCATGGAGTTAATATAAATCAAGCCAGACTTTAATATTACTTTTCAGTTTTTGCCTTTTATATTCAATGATTTTAAAACAATTTCTTTTTATAATATACATTTTGTAAATGTGAAAATGGAATAGAATATTTTATGTAGATCAATGTAGATCAAGGATGATAACCCTGAGTATCGATGAATTAAGGCTTTCTCAGAAGATAATATGTCTGCCTACATGAAGTCACTAGTGACAACTATAAATTATACCTTGTTCATCAGATTTCCTATAATTAAGAAATACCAGGCATTAGAATATTTGGTAAGTGCCTAGAACATCAACCTAACAGTGTTAAAGTAGATCTGATTCTTTACTTCCTCCTAAACTTGGGTAAGATGCTGAACTTTTCACTTCATACTTCTATGACAAGTTTCAACACCGCCTAGCATTGCACAAATACTTTATAATATCCCCTCCTTTCACTATAGCTGATCTTGAAAAATATAGATCGATGTGTATGTTTTTCGGATAAAACATTTGAAAAACTAAATTTTTGGAGAGAATACGATGTCTCTGGATTTTTCCAAAAAATAATCTACAGTAATTTTGCATAAATTAAATAAACAGACAACAATAAATGACCCATGATCAATGTCCACAAATTAAACTTTCCTTCCCCACCCACTACATTTCAATGGACTAGCCTAAGTCCCTCATAACTGATCCTTACCAACTGTTTCAGTCTTATGATCTCTGCCGTCTGTGGATCACGGTTAATTATAGGTTTGTTCTTGATCTTTCTGGCTCTGTCAGCATAGCGTAATGTGTTCAATGTCTCTTCCATGTTAGTATCTGCTGGGCTGATACATGCTACCATGAGAGTATAGGAATTCCCTCCTAATGAATCTAGAAATTATGAAATTAAGAGTGAAAATTATAGATAGGATTATCTTACTTTAATCAAATGAAACATTTATAACTTATTTAAAAAGTTACAGTTTGAAGACAAAGTTATCATAAAGAGTTTATTTCACATGTCAGAATTTTTTTTTTTAAATCACTAAAAAATTACCAGAGTTCTTTAATGTAAAGATTGAGAGTGAAATTGTAAGTTTACACATCAATAATCCCAGGAAAAAAGTAATTAATACTATATTTGCTCCTGAATATTTGGGCAGTTGAAGGTCATTATCAGTCTAGCATAATAGCATAATTGTATAATTTCTCAAACTGTCCACTATATTTAAAGAAAGTCTGCAGTGAAATATTGGGTATTCCCCTATTCATGACCTGTCACAATAAAATACCATGACCAGTAACCATCCACAGAAAGGATTAAACTGATGTTACCCTTACCCACAAGGTCAGCTAAGAAACAATTCTTTCACTTTGTGCTTTATGCTTATTTTAACATGGGTAGGTATAAAATTTGTCAATATCTGTATATTGAGTTTTGACACTAAAAGATAAACCATTTTGAAAAATGAGGTAAAGACATTTTAGATAACCAAGTGTTAAACTGTTCCTCAAAAAAATTTCTTGAATTTCAAAGTGATCATCTCCTACAGAAATATTCATTTTGATCTCCAGCATTGTTCAAAATACAACTGTAAAGTCTATTACAATGGTAAGCATGTTTTCCCCATGTTTTATTGGAATTATATATATATATATTAGATAGAACATGTCTTTGTTTATAAAGCAAAACAGGAGCTTCATATTAGAAAACAGAATATCAATAATTTCCTTCTATAGTATTACCTTGAAGAAGTCTTGTTAACTTGGAGTCTCTATATGGAATATAGGACCTTTTCTCTTTGTCATCACCCAGTGCACTGATGACATTGCCTAAACATAAAAGTCCTCTATTGATGTTCACCCCTTCCTTAAATCTTTCTCCCTCTGCCTGCGTCTTTTTTGCTCTCTCAGATCCTGCTAGATCTACTAAGTGGAACTTGGCACTACAGGTGTCATTTCTATAATAGAAAATTAGACTTTAAGGTGGTACCTTACACTACAGGGAGATAACTCTGTAAAATCACCTATGTTTTAATCACGTTCTATTAAGGAAATATCAAGCTTCTCAATGATCAAAATTAGTCTTTGTCAAACTGCTATATATGCAATGAAATTTTCCGTGAAAGTGATTGGTTCAAGTTTTTTGAAATTTTTATACTTTTTTTCAAAGGGTCAAAGTAAATATTTTGTCAAAATTTTATGAAAATTAAACGAGCCAAATTAATTAAGTCAAAGTGTTGGGTACCACCTTAACATAGAATCAGTTTCTTTTGTTCCTAGGACTACTTTTAGAGATAATTTTCAAGACATTCTTTGTTTATAAAGACAAATCAGTCCAACTATATTTACAAGTTAAATGATTAACACAATTGAAAAAACTTCATAATAAATATCAACAAAAAAACAATTTGTACAAAATCCACAATATTGATGCAAAGGACATACTTTTTATTCGATGTGTAAATTAAAGCCCACCACAGAAAAGTTATGCATTGAAATTAACGACAAGTGAGATATCGACATTTAGTGTCCTTTGTCTATAAACTAATATTGGACATACTCATCATCTTTTTTCTTCATTTCCACATGTATTGTAAAGATAGCATGACTTCTACTGGACGTGCTATTCATAGCAGTGGCTCCAGTTGTTCTGACTTGACCTCCCATGCTAAGGCAGGTCAATGTTTCTTCGTAGGACGTCACTGTTTTCTCTCTTAAACCTGGTAACTAAAGTACAAAGAGAAGTTTGGTTGGAAATTTATCTCAATTACTCCATTTAAAATCTACATGTTTCTTTGAATGAGACTTTTATCAGTAAGTCTTACTTCTAGTAATATGATGTGTTTCATTGTCTTTATTGGTCATTGAAGTTTGATTTGGTTTGTTACAAGTATTGTAAGATATCTGACGTGAATCCAGTCACCCTTTTCATGAGTTTTGTTGTCTTTAATTGTTTCTTATTTTTCTGTGTTGGTCAGTTGTACTATCCAGTGTTTTTGGTGAATCCGGTCATCTTTTTTATTCATTTCATTGTCTTTATTCATATTATTTGGGTGTTGGTGGTTGAATTGGTCTGAACTATTAAGTATTTTAGGTGAATCCCCTAATCTATTTTTTATGAGTTCTATAATTAGATATTCAGTGTTTACACGACAATGTTTACCCTGATTCCTCCAGTAGCATCTTCTCTGATAGCCAACGGCTCTCTCTTAGACATTGGGCACAGTAAGTCATTTATATCCTCATTGTATATCTGAAAGAAAAAAAAGAAAATTTATATTGTATTCTTTATCAGGGACCAAACTAGATGATGTGGCTAAGAAATAAAATTCAGAATGGAAATATGCCAAAGAGACAACATCTTTAAGCCAAATGTAGTGGTATCAGAACAGTGAAGCAAAGAAGATAGTTTTTCAATTTAGAAACAGTGTGGAAAATGTTTGATGAAGTCAGACCTTATACCCTTGGGTGTCATATAATAGCTATACAAAGATTGAAGTACATATGAAAGAAACACAATCTTCCTGTTTGATTAGGAGTAAAAAAAATTCTCATCTCTTAACATTTGAACATACTCACAATCCTGAATATAGAATTATCAATAATTTAATCACAACAGTGTTAAAATCTATAAACATCTCTGTTAGCATTATATTTTTCTTTTTAATTTTATGTCCTTACAACTATATAAATTGCTGCTGCTTGCATCACAAGCAAATATTTGTTTTGTTTTTACCTCCAAATATGAAACTTTAACAGTGAACGAATACTCTGGTCTATCTTCCATTCCATTGAACAGTTCCTGCATAACACGCGGAATGACACCTTTTTCTATTTCACCAACCATGTCATAACATCCTCCCATAGTGTAAGTCTTCCCACTTCCTGTTTGTCCATACGCTAAAACTGTTGCATTGTACCCTGAAACATACACATCAATTGTTAACAAACATATTATTCAGTCCATACACCAAAACTGTTGCATTGTACCCTGAAACATGCACATCAATTGTTTACAAATATATTATTCAGTCCATAAGCTAAAACCTTGCATTGTACCCTGAAACATACACATCAATTGTTAACACATATATTAATCAAACTTATGTGAAAGAGGTGTAACAAGTATATATTTTCCCTAGAGTATTTTTACATGTACTGTGCAGTATTAATTTAAAATTTGAAATCCAATCCTTCAATCTTCGAGAAGATCATCCTTTCAGGCAAACATCAATTCTCCAGAACAATGCCTAATCATAAAGTCATTTTATTTTAAAACAATTGAATTCCATGTAACTTGCTCTATACACCATGTATACCTTATCTAAATATGTACAGTATATGTTTCAATACATTGCAATAATAAAATGACTTTGCCACCCAAATAACTATACCCTTTTAGTTACTGTTCATTTTGCCAGGAAGTGGAAAAGAATATATATGTTCATTTGGTCTCTTGTGATGAGTTGTCTCATTGGCAATCATACCACATCTTTTTTATATTAAATAAAGAATATATATGTTACACTCAGAAACGTGTCCTTCCCCCCAAACGTGCCCGATTCCCCCAAATGTGTCCACATCGACGTCACTGAACTGCAAAAACATGTCTAGTTTTTAAAGTGCTCCAAAGCTTGTCATTTGTATAAACGCCCAAACGTGTCCATTTTTTTTTAATAAACACCCAAACGTGTCCAATTCATCAAATATCAAAGCTTTTTTTATCTTTAATAGGAACTATCATTCGTGTCCATATTATAAATATGTATGTTATTTGGTTATTGCTTTTTCACTAACGTATACTCAGTTTACTATTTCATTAAAAAATTAAAAAAATAAATTACTGTAAGTCTTTTTAAACAAACAGTATAACCTGGATTAAAGCAGGGTGGCCGTTTGGCTATGTTGGATGTAAATGTAAGCAGCCATGCTCAGTTATTTTTAATTTAGATAACTCGCGTAGGGAGAATGTCACTTTCTCTGCGCATTAAAACCTTTATAGCATTTCACTCTTTCATGGTACCATAGGTTGTATTTTTGAAGGCAACATTTTTTATAAATTTCCGCACATTTTATTTAAATCGGCATCGTATTACATAATGGAGATTGAAGTAGTTTCTTACTGAAGTCATAACAAAATTGGTCTTTACTCGCTCTTAAACTTTTTACATGAAAATCCCAACTAGTGCATTGTTAACATGATGTCGTTCAAATAATGCATGAAATATTTGTCACTGGACGTTATGTCTTTTGATCGTGTGCCTTTAGTGATGCTGGAAACCTGAAATTTATTAAAAAAAAACCCTGATAGCCCGTCTACGATTTGAAGAGCTTTTAAAGTATTAGAACTGTTGACAAAAATTAAAGAAAGTCAGTTCTGCTGAAAGCCCGCCGTGCAATATTCAGATTAATATAAAAGGCATCGGTGACCTATACTTGTAAATTTCTGTGTCATTTTGGTCTCTTGTTATAATCATCAGAATTTATTAGTACAAAATAACTTACATAGTAAACAATTAATTCAACTCTAGAATTATGTGTATGTTCGCTCTAAATGAGTATGAAATACTTGCAACTGGACAATAAGCAAATTCAGTCAAAAGTTAATTTATATGTTAAAAATTAAATTTGCAATTATGATAATCATTAAAAACTGGCATTGAACTAACAAGATCTAACTAACGTTAATAAATGACAACATCAACACCTGTGTCCCCAATCATAGAATGCCGTAAACGTTATCGATTTCATTTAAGGCATACATGTATTAGCGCTAAAAGATGTGAGACGTTCTGGTGTTAAATAGTGGACACGTGTTGGCGAATAACAATTATTGGACACATTTGGGGGTTATGAAATCGGACATGTCTGGGGAATATTGAATATTACGGACACCTTTTGGGAGAATAGACACGTTTGGGGAATCTGACACATTTGGGGGGAAGGACACGTTTGGGAGTGTTACATATATAGTTTTCTTTTATATAATATATAGCTTTGTCTATCAAAGTCTATTGCTCAAATCTGTTTATAATGCATTCAGAAAAAGTGGCAAGCTGACAATTTGTTGTCAGTTTCTTCTTAATTTCAAATGGACAAAATATAAAATTTAAGGAATCAGTCCAGCATGCATTAGAATTTTCAAAATTATATGTATCTGTGTATAGAGAACAATTTCTTAAAAACCCTATCTTGTGTGTGTGTACTTAACTTCACCTACCTTTAAAAATGTTTTACAACAGAATCATTTCCCAAATCAAGAGCCTGTTATCAATGGTTGTCAATCTTTACAGTACAACATGCTGTACATCATAATTGTTTTTCATTTGATGTTTGGTATATAAATTAGGCTGTTGGTTTTCTCACTTGAATTGATTGACAATTTTATTATGTCAGGGGCTTTCAAAGAAAGATTGCTATACAGTATTGGTTCTGCTCATTATTGAAGGCTGTAATGTTTTTCTAAAATTTGTCACTTTATATCTTGGTCGGTTAGTTAGCCATTATACCACATCTCGTTATTCTATATCATCTTTCCGGCTATTCCATTAAAATGTATGTGGGAGGGTAGGAAGTAAACTTTGATTATTGAATGTGGGTCATGGGTCTTTTTTCAGTATGCGCCTAATACCATAATGCAAAATTATCTAAAAATGGTTCTTGGTTGTAGGGATATTTTGAAGGTCCCTTCCTACCCTCCCACAAACATTTTAATGGAATAACCCTTAAAATGATCAGAATGAAGATGACTTATCCTAGACCATACATGTGCTAGTCTAAGACAAGATGTTTGATAGTAGAATCGTAAACCTCATGCTGGGAAAGATCACCACTGTATGTGACTTACCCTTGACCATAGATAAGATGCTTAACACTTACAGAGGAATCGTAAACCTCATGCTAGGAGTGATCACAATTGTAAGTATCCTACCTTTGAAGATGTGCTTGACCAGATGTTTGACTGCAGTATCGTAAACCTTAAGCTGGGAATGATCAGGACTGTAAACATAATCGTAAGTAAAAGATCTATTGGAACCTAGGACAAGCTGGGGTTCATTGTCGATAAAACGTACACACTTCTGACATCCTTCATTCAATTCCTTTGCGATCAGGGGTCGACAACGTATCGCAACACGTACTGGAATAACTTTGTCCTCCGACATGGTAAACCTGCATAGGCAAAAATAAAATGACCAATTATAGAAATAAATTTCCATAAAATTATGAACATGACATTGTTTTATCTGCATGTAAGACCTTGATCTGTATAACAAAAACAAATGTTCTTTCAATTGCAAGGTATTAGATATTTGTAAAACTTCCCTTGTTCTATTTTAAGCCGTGAGGTCATAGTAGTCAAAGGGGGGATAACAATTTGCATGAAGTTGCGTACCCATTTTGTAAAACGTTGACGGAAGATTTGGAGGGCTAATGTTTACAACTTAAATGGATTTAACAATTCTAAATTGCAAATTTTATGGTTATAGATTATGCAACAATATTACATGCATCTTTTGGTAATGTATGTAAACCGGATGTTTTGATTTTATTGTAAACTCTGAAATGAATTCAGAATTAGGATATGTAATTTCTTCAGATTATCAAGTTGCAGTTAATATTCATGTAATTACTTTTTAACCTGTAAAGTGATAGAATATTATCAGCAATTGTAGCTATTGTATAATTTGACATTAAATTATGTTCTATTTTGTACTCGTTTAAAAAGAGGCATGCTGATTGCTTTAGTCAAAATATAAGCACAAGTTTAGATTTTTTAAAACTTTTTTCATCGTTACTGAATTATCTTTATTATAATATGCATGTAAACTGAAATGTAATCAAATAATGCAATTAATCGTCTATCTTTATCCTGTCAGGTGTGTCAATCTACCTGTACAAGTGATTAGCTATCTTCAGCCAGATATACCTCAGAGCTTCTTTAAAGATGAGAACACTTTGATGATGGCGGGAGATAATTAAACAATGGCAAAGCGCCATCATAATACAAGTTGTCAAGTACCATAAATCAAGTGTTCTAATCAAAAATATGTTAATGCTTGTGGAATGTGTTTTTCTTTTTTTAGGATCAATATTTTTCTGTCAGCTGTGCCATTCATGTGTTCGTAGTCTTTATTGTCAAAATACGGATTTCATTCATAGCTGGTCCGTTAACCGACTCTGATCCTTACTTCGCACAATATTTCAATGACGGACGAAGAAAATTTACAAAAATAAACCATGTTTGGCACCCATTTTGGAAAGGAATGTGACATTTTTTTTGCAATAAATGGATTACAAATTTACTTCCACAATTTTCATCACGTTCTAATAAAGTAACACACTTATTTTGCTGAAACTAAGAATGATTTGATGTATGCTCTCAATTCTCGAGGAAGTGATCATGAAATAACATGCTACACATGTACCAACTTTAGTCAATGATTGTCGCCCTTTGATCAGCTAAAAACCCAACCTTGATCCAAATAAAGATAAAGGGCACATGGCATTAGAAAAAAGGGCATGGCACTGTGCCATGCTAAATTGCTTTAGATCATTTAGATAAAACACTAACAATCACACGTCACAATCAAAGATTTTTTTTTTTATAAGGATTTGCAAAATAGAAACATCTCAAATGGACATCCTTACAACACAGAAGGAAAGAAACAAGACTAACCATGCTATACAAAATAGAAAACAACAAAGTGGCCATGTTGAATTAAATTCAAAAATATGGGGGGAGGTCTCATATGCGCACCAAAACCATGGCAGTATAATCAGTTTGTTGATTGTGGCCATTATCTGGCAGAAGCAGATGTAACATTAATTTATCTACGTGCTGCCAGGCTTTAAAACTTTTCAAATTGTACAGAATGACTCATTGACTGATTTGGAACCCAACCCCCTTTTTTAAGGTTCATCATAACAAATGAGCAAATATGGCCATATTTTCACCTCAAAAACTACTCTGTGTACAGACTTACCTGTGCAGTTTGGAAAGTTTTAAGGCCTGGCATCCACTAGATATATAAAAGTTAAATGCATTTTGTGTTTCAGAAAGATAAAATCGTTTTTAGAATTTGATGGGCATGTCTTTTCCTTCCTGCAAAAGGTGTAAAAATAAACAAACACCTGAATTGCATTTGATACTGTCCACTCAATTTAATACTACCTTTAACTCACCTATAGATGTGTAGATATCTATTGTCCATGCCAATCAAGGACAATCAATACAATAGAAACCAGTTGTTACCTGAGAGGGAGCATCTCAAAGTAGTATCCAAACTTAGTTTATTTTTACACCTTCTGCAGGAACGAAAAAAAATGCCCATTAAAATCCAAAAAAGATTTTATCTTTCTGATATGCAAAATACATTTAACTTTTATACATCTAGTGGATGCCAGGCCTTAAAACTTTCCAAACTGCACAGGTAAGTCTGTACACAGAGTAGTTTTTGAGGTGAAAATACGGCCATATTTGTCCATTTGATATGATGAACCTTAATCTTCTTCTTCTTCTCTTCTTCTTCTTCTTCCAATTAAGCGGCCGCAATCAACTGTCTGATTATTCTGCCACTGTGTGTTGCGCATGAAGTCCAAAGAAAATTGAATTTTTACAATATTTACATTTTGTGAAGGTTAAAATCCTATATACAGGTGCTCTTTAAAAACAGTGTTTTTGTCTATTTTGTTAGCCGAGCCTTGAAGCATTCAAGACTCGGGCGGAGGTAGTGGAAAGTGGTAAGGCATTCCATTCCCGTATGGATTTTGGATAGAATGACATGTTCCTTATATCGGTTCTACAAAGGGGAACCTGGTAACATCCAGTACCAGTTGTTCTTGATGCTCGGCTTATTGGAATAAGCCTAGATGTTGCATCTATATTAACTAGGCAATTAGTAATTTTGTACATCATGCACATCCTTGTTGTTGATCTCCTCTCTTCTAATTGTTGCCACTCCAGTTGTTGTATCATGGCGTCTACTGATGATGTGTTACGGTATTTGTTAGTAACATACACCTAGCCCCTCTGCGTTGTACCATCTCAATTTTTTTCTTGTTTTGTTGATGGGGGTCCCAAACTGCACTTGCATATTCTAGTGTTGGTCTTACTAATGACTTGTATGCGTTTTCTTTCAGTTGTTTGTTGTTGATGTTTAAATTTCTTTTTAAGAACCCAATAGTTTTATTTGCTTTTTGGCAGATGTTATGTACATGGGTGCTCCAATTTAAATCTGAGCTGATGGTAACTCCAAGATATTTTGCAGCCGATACTCTCTCCAGTACATGGCTGTGTAGGATGTAGTCTTTTGTGATTGGATTTCTTTTCTTGCTGATGGTCATGACATTGCATTTGTCTGCGTTGAACTTCATGAGCCATCGTTGTTCCTAGTCTGATAATTTGTTCAGGTCCTCATGCAGTGTTGTGGTATCTGCATCTGATGTTATTGTTAGGTAAATGATCGTACCCCCTCTGGCATATCATTGATGTAGTAGAGGAAAAGTGCTGGACCTAGGACTGAACCCTGTGGTACTCCTGATTCTACATCAATGAGGCTAGAGCTTACTCCTTCAACCACTACTGACTGTTGTCTACCACTTAGGAAACTGAGAATCCATCTGTTGGTTTTACCATCAATCCTGTATCGCCTTAGTTTATGGATCAGTAGTGAATGGCTTACTTTGTCGAAAGCCTTGGAGAAGTCCATGATTAAGCAATCTGTTTGCTTTCCTTCATCCAGGTTTTGTGTGATATCATCTATGAACTTGATGAGTTGAGTTTCGCATGATAATTTTTTGCGGAACCCATGCTGCATAGGATGTAGGATATTATGTTTGTCTGAGTGAGCCATGATGTTGCTGGTAATTATGTGATCCATTATTTTGCAGGCTATACACGTTATAACTTAAAGATACTGGGCGGTAATTTTCTGCTTCGTACTTTTGACCTTTTTCAAAGATAGGACAGACGTTGGCCAATTTCCAGTCTATTGGTAATTCTCCAGATTCATATGACTTTTGAAAGATGATACTGAATATGGTGCTAATTTGGTGGCTAGTTCGTTTAGAACCTTAGATGTACATTGTAATTTGGTCTGGACCAGCTGCCTTGTGTGGATTTAGGTTTTTAGTATTTTCAATATTCCATTATCTGTGATGTTAATTTCTGGCATAGATGGATAACTTTTGTTTGAAGATCCACATCGGTCTTGGAATTCCTGGTTAGAAAAGCTTGTTTTTTCAGTAAAAGCAGACTGGAACTGTTGGTTAAGTATATTTGCTTTATCCAAAGGATCTGAACAGGTCAGGAATAACCACCAATTGGTGGATTATACCTCAATTGACGTATAATCCACCAATTGGCATATAATGGTATCTAGACCAATTGACGTATAATTCTTTGTTTTTCAAAGCAAATTATTCAACCAAAATGGAGCATTGTTTTCTTAAAACCATAGTATTGTATGAAAACATGTTAAACATTCCTAGTTTAGTATAGTGACATAACATATTGCATTTAATCAATAATTGTATTTGCAGTTTCTTCTATTGTTATCTTGTCAATCACTAATCACCTGTCAATGGACATCAATACTGTCTGCAGTCATGTGATTATGAGTACAACTCCACAGGTGAATGGAGCTCTTTGTTAATACTTGACTTTCATTATTAAAAGTCAATCATGGTCAATAGTACAGATGTTTCAACAAAAGAATTGTTGTACACATGCATTTTCAAGAGATGCAGCAGGCTTTGACAAAACTGAAACATTCGGAGGACTCAATAATGGTCATAAAATAGGTTGTAAGTTGCAAAATGATGCTCCTATCTCACACTAGCATTTTATTACAAAAAAACTTGCATTATACGTCAATTGGTCTATAGGTGTAATACCACCAAATCATAGTACGTCACATCCGGTTGCATACGAAAATAGGTCGAAAAAAAATATTCCCTTGAATTTGACAGTTGTAGGTAATTGATCCTACATTTCATTGCAGTAAAACATTTCTGGGTCATAAACATATATCTTGGGTATTTCAAAGCACCATTATTTTTTTATTTGGGGTTTCTATAGAATATTTTGGAAACTTGAGGTTACATGGTTACTAAAGCTTGTACACAGGTTAAAAAGGGGGAACATTTGATTGGTTTACTTCCAGTGATGGTTATTTTCTTATATGCAATGAAATGTTATGTGAAATTTTTTCTATAGTACTGGACAGGATAAAACTTTACTCATGCCAAGTATTTCTTTATTTGAAACAAAGATAGATTCTGCACAATTTTTTGAAAAGTGCAAATTTAACAAAGACTAATAGGGGAAAATCAATGGTGGTATTACACCTATACCAATATATGTCAATTGGTGGATTATACGTCAATTGAGGTATAATCCACCAATTGGTGCTTATTCCTGACCTGCTGAATGTAGTAGGCCATCTTTTTTCAGTGGTGAGACTTCATTTCCATCACTTCTTTTGTGCTTTATGAATGTCTAGAAATCTCTTCATACAGCCACAGGGGTTTGTTACAATTTGCCGGGTTTACTATCCATACGAACCCCGAAAACATTTTTTCGGGGTTCGTATGGATAGTAAACCCGGCAAATTGTAACAAACCCCTGTGATACAGCCACGATTTTCGATGATGTTATCTTCTGGTGGTGTTACAATAGATTCCACATACTTCCAGTATGACCTCCTCAGACCTTGCTGTTTTTTTTCGGGGTTCGTATGGATAGTAAACCCGGCAAATTGTAACAAACCCCTGTGTACATGGTGTACAGCCGATCTCTCTTTCTAATTTAAATAAATAGCTTTTGAAAAACGTTCATCTGAAAGTTGTGACCTCGTGTTAAGCTGATGCAATTTTATGAACCATGTAATATTAACGGATACAAATAATTCATAGTGTCCTGATTTTCAGATTTGCGTGGAAAATGCATTTGTTTATATATTTACCTTCCCGCTCGCCTTTAAATTCCAGGTGGCGCTTCAATATTCTGAACCGAATCGAAATTTAGAACTTTTATCGGTTTTCTCATTTCCGGACTTGTTTGGGAAAAAATAAAAAGGGGTGGCTGAAACGGTTTATAACATGAATAACTATACGTGTAATAAGGGATCACGAAAGGTATTTCAAACATGCCAAAGAAAAGAAAATTACCAAAAAATACGACCAAACTTTTTTTTTTTTAACATAATCTATATTGAAAATATTTTCTATGAAATTTATATAAATGATGCTAACTTGCCTTATTATGGGAGCATGCAAACCTACATCCATGAAAAATTATGGCTTTATTGAAAATTTAACAAAATCATTAGATAAATTTTTGTGTCAAATGAGAATAATTTTTGGTTTATACCTAAAATTTGCTATGTTGTCTGATGAAAAATCTCAGACTTTACTTGATATTTAAATCAAATCAATTTTTTTTTTATTCTAATCAAGGACCCATAGGGGGCATTTACAATTAATAATTATGATAGTATAAGCAACAAACACGAGGCATTGTACAGTATATAACATGACAGATATTATAATAGACAAATGAAAATAGCATAATAACAAAAATACATTAAAAGTACTCTTGACTATTTTTTTTTCTCCCTTCCTCATGTTACTTTCTTATTACCATTAATATTTCTATGTCCAGCAGTGCACAAATAAAAATATAAATAATAAAGTTTGAGCAAACTTAAATTATTATCATATATAAAAGATGGAAAATTTGTTCATCTGCAGGAGACACCAAGGGACAGTGTGTCACGGTTATTTTCAACTTGTCACAACTGGTTAAATGTCTTTTTGGATTTATTATTACAAGTATAAAGAATATGTGTTTTAAAACAACAAATAGTTTAAATGGTGTTAGTGACGGTCACAAATATTATTTCTATGTTGTGGTTGGATTTTACCTGCACAAAAACGTAGGAACATAACATATAGAATTTAAAAAACTTTTGATATTGACCAATTTACAAACGATTTACAGAAAATAAAGATTTAAGAAAATTGTACTGAGAAAGATCTAAATAGTATATATATACGATGATTATGAAAAAGACTGATCTCAAAAATACATTAAATAAACATGTACTTAGTGTCTTTTTGTTGTCAGTGCCCGGCCACGTCCACTTGTATTTGTAGTATTTTCATTTTTATCCATCTGATGAGTTAAGCCTTTTTCAACTAATTTTTATAGTTCGTTTCGTTCTTATGTTGTACTGTTACACCACTGTCCCGGGTTATGTGGGGGTGGGGGGGGGGGGATCCCGCTAACATGTTTAATCCCGCCACATTATGTATGTATGTGCCTGTCCCAAGTCAGGAGCCTGTAATTCAGGGGTCACAAGTGTCGTTTGTTTATGTGTAACATATTTATTTTTCGTTCATTTTTTGTATACATAAATAAGGCCGTTAGTTTTCTCGTTTGAATTGTTTAACATTGTCATTTTTGGGCCTTTTATAGCTGACTATCCGGTATTGGCTTTGCTCATTGTTGAAGGCCGTATTTTGACCTATAGTTGTTAATTTCTGTGTCATTTGGTCTTTTTTGGAGAGTTGTCCCATTGGTAATCATACCACATCTTCTTTTTTATATTGCATACAGTCACCGGAATATTAGTTTCTGTATATATGTTGTTAGTGTTACCATATAGCACAACTCGTTCTGTATATAACAGGCTATTATTTGAACTTGGAATTATTTTTAATTATGGAATTTGCATAATTTCTTGTGCTTGAATTTTTTGATAAAATCCTTGTTTATTTGTTATTATAATGTTTTGAGTGGTTCATAACACTTTCCATATAATGTATTTTGTATAGATAGTGTTGTGCGCGGCACAATACATTCTATTGAAAATGTACTATCTTCTTTGTAATAGAAAGTGTTGTGCACAGCACAGAACATTGAAGTACAGAATAAACATGGAATTTATTAAAAATTTCCAGCACAAGAAATTATGCAAATTCCATAATTAAAAATAATTCCAAGTACAAATAATAGCCTGTTATATGTTGTCTTAGTGTTACCATTCTCTATGTATGTGTCTGTTCCAAGTTAGGAGCCTGTAATTCAGTGGTTGTCGTTTGTTTATATGTTGTCTTAGTGTTACCATGGCATTGAGAATTGTCTTGTTTTCTATACACGATTAAGCACGATTAAGTAATTACATTAACGATCCGATCGCAAGGTTTGACCACTGTTTGGAATTACCGGTATTTCACGATAATTTTTTATAACGTGGGCGTTGGATAAAAGAAGTATTCAAAGTTATTCAAAATCAGGTTTTCCAAAGACGACCAATGAACTTTTACATGTGGTTTTCAGAAAATTAAAGGTTCTAAAATTTATATGACCCCAAACGATCGTTTTTAAAACCGGTTTCTTTCAACTCATAGAAGTTTATTTCTATTAGAATCGTCGTCAGTATAACATATTGCTTTCTTATTGAAATTTCCGTGGCACCAACATGTTTGAATTTGGAGATGCTTACGATCTGGTTATATTGGTTCTTACTTATTGCCTGGACAAGGCTTTGAGTCGTTGTAAATCTAAGCGTCGTATTCATTATCTTCACATTGTAATGATTCGTTTTCTCATCAGCTACCTAATATCTGCAACTGAATTTTATATTATGATGGAGTCTTATGGATTTTGGGAAAACATTTTCAAATCGTGGAAGCAAGGAAATATCTTTTCATTTTACACTGATTTGTCTTATGGAGGGTTACAAGGGTCTAACCTTATCAAAATATACACAGCCTTCTTAGTGTTTTTTACACTTTGGTCTGCTTTTATAGGCTTTTGTTCTATGGTATCATGTCATTCGCGTTTGTTCCACTCCTTATTTAGATGTTCAAGAAATACCTCCGCAGATGTCAGCATACCGATGTTCGTTATGATATGCGTAGGAAATGTACTGATGTTATGTAGCGATGTACTGCTTCTGTTATATACAACTTATCTTGGTTTAGAATATGAAGAAAATGAAAGAGTGATTGATTTTTCAGACAACGTAAACACTTTCAGGTCAGTTTTGTTTTTTCTCAGCATATTCGATATATTACAAGCTTTATTTGGACTGATCAGGATTTTTGTGAAAAGGGGGAACATCATGTCGAGAATTACCAAGTTACCCGGATGCATCTGTTACCGTAACACATGACTTTGAGAGAATATTATCAATCATATTAACATTTACCAAGTATATGAATATAATAGAGGTAGCAGTATTTCCTTCTTAATTTGTTCTAAACATAAGGATTTGAACACTACTTTTGGAGGAGGCTTGTTGCCACGTATTTTATTTTTTATCTAGTATGTAATCTTTTTGTATTGTTTGTTTTTTTGTTATATAGTAACATTCCTTAAATTCTTATCTTATCTTATCTTAAATCTTATCTTATCTTATCTTAAATCTTATCTTTATCTTTAATTTTATCTTTATCTTTAATTTTATCTTTATCTTATCTTATCTTACCTTATCTTATCTTATCTTTATATTTGTCTTTATCTTTATTTTTATCTTTAATTTTATCTTATCTTATCTTATCTTATCTTATCTTATCTTATCTTATCTTATCTTATCTTATCTTATCTTATCTTATCTTATCTTATCTTATCTTATCTTATCTTATCTTATCTTATCTTATCTATGAACACGCGAAATTCTTATTAACATATAACGTTTTTGTAATATACGGATGTCATTACTTCAAAAAAAATATATGAGAGAAAAACAATTGCTACAGTTATAGAGATATGTTGAGATACTATTATTGAACGAGTTGTGTATAGTCACTGAGAATACAAAAAGAACAGTTCCTACAAAAACCGTAGTGATAAGAGAAGTTAATTTTGAACATTCAGTTCGTAGCTCCTACCAAGGGCCACCGAATGACAGAAAGCAAGGACACACTTATCGTGATTATTAAAATAGTTTGGGTTTTGATCATCAGACTTTAACAGCGAGTGTTTTTCGTCATTATTAATGTAAGCATAATATGTAATATTTGTTGTTTCTATTTATAAGACTTAATATTAAACAATTATAGCTTTTGTATGAGGTCGATACAAGGACATATTGACCTGAATGATGTATATTGACTGAGAACGAAATCTGAGGTCGATATACTTCTTTGGGTCGATTTATCCTGTATTAACCTCTTACAAAGGCTATTATTATTATACTATTAATTTACAACCATATTTGTATCAAAATCGTCAATATTCTCTTTTTTCGATCTTTTAATTTTGTTGTAATTTTATAGATATTATACAATTACTGTCTTTTGATGAGGTAAATATGTAGTTTTTCAAAAGTCAATTAAACCACATATTTCGCGAAACAAAAGACAGTAATTGTATTATTCCATATTCCGAGAGAAATGTGGCAATTATTTACCAAAACCAATTTTACATCAAACGTTTTTTACCAAAATTATGCACGTAAAAGCATGCGACGTTTTGCGCGGTGAATATACTTTTTCCGCAGGTGAATATGCTTATTTATTTAAAATCCCTTTCATATAGAAAAACCTACTAACTGTTTATCAATATATTTGTAATAATATATTGTCTCTTTGACAGTAACAACATATTTATTTTTTTAATTTTAGTTCATTTATATGTTTTGGAGTTTAGTGTGACGTCCATTTTCACTGAACTTGTACACAATTTTATTTTGGGGCCAGTTGAGGACCTCCTCCGGGTGCGGGATTTTCTCGCTGCGTTGAAGACCCGTTGGTGGCCTTTGGCTGTTGTCTGCTCTTTGGTCGGGTTGTTGTCTCTTTCAGAGGCGGATTTAGAGGGTTTTTCAGGGGGCCCGGGCCCCCCCTTTTGTGGGAAAAATTTGGTTGCTTATATAGGGAATCACTGAAGCATGACTGGAGCGGACCCCTTCTTAGGCAGTCAGTGGGCCCCCTCTTATGAAAATTTCAGGATCCGCCACTGTCTTTGACATATTCCCCATTGCAATTTTCAATT